TAGGGATTAGGAAATCAAATTAAAATTTTAAATAAAAATAATATATTGATTTCTTAAATGATTTCACAATAACAATAAGGTAATTTATTATATATGATTTATGAAGAAACAAAATCTCATAAAATCAACCAATACTAATAAATAACATATACACACACACACCAAGTTGGGCAAGATTGGGCTTAGACTAAACTCAAGGTCTAGCTCAATTGGGTCATTGAAACCAACTTGGTCTTCCAGGTAAGACCAGGCCTATCGAACTATCAGATTAACTGAACACACTTGTTTCATATATATTATCTTAGCTTCTTAATTATACTAATATAAACGTTAATAGGAAAAATTACTATAAAATTTATTCTTTGAGAGGGAAATTGTTTAGAGGGATTAAGACCAATTTAAGGATTAAATGCATACCAAGCCTATTAATTTACACACTAAGCATATAAACTTGTAATCTAAGCCTATCACCTTATACCTTGCACCCAAGCCTATCACTTTGCACACAAATTCTCATCTTTTACCCCAAGCCTATTATCTTACATCTTACACACCAAGCCTATTGATAACCTATTGAAATTGATGTCAATCTAGTGCATTTTTCTATACTTTCTTTGATAAATTGGTTTAATTGTGAATATTTTAGGTTTAAATATAGGAAAATAAGCTTTAGTTCAAGTTGGCTTTGAAAATAAAATTTATCGACAATTTTTTCATAGAATCTTGCCTTGATTTTAAACTTCAAAAGATCTCATAATTGTGTCTATTGTTTTAGGTGACATCTTTTAGGGAATTATGAAGATTGAAAGCCAAATGATGTTTGATGATGTATATGGAAACATAAAAGCAGTAAAATTTGGGCCAATAATGATAATTGAAGGCTTTGTGTCATGTGCCACGGTGCGTGCGGAGTGCATTGCGGTATGTGGCATAGAGACGGAGTTCTTGAAGATACAAAGGCATTGCGGCTCATTGACAATACACCGTGGCACACATCTGCATTTTTTCATGTACACCGCAGCACATGACTTAAATTTTGCTACAAGTTTTAAGTCGTAGAATGAAAAATTAGGTCTCGATAAGCCATAAACATGCCTCCAGATAGAGAGTTGTGATTTTTTGAGGTTCTTAGAGGCTTGATCTGCTCGGGTTTAAGGTTTTTAAAGGATATTTGGCCAAGGATTGAAGATTTGAAGAGATTCAAGTGAATCTCCTTTAGTTTTTCTTCTTCTCTTCTCTTTTCCCTATTTGTTTTTGATATGGATGCTGTATATTGTGATATTTATAGCTCTTTTTTGAACATGATTAGCTAGTTCTCTTGTTCTAGGATTATTTCAAACTTTTGTATAGATTAAGACTTGAATATTCCTCTTTTTTTTGTAGTTATTGATATATATATATATATATATATATGTTTATTTTATCCTATGCTTAATGCATCTAAACGCTTGATCACTATTTAGATTGTTTTGTTTATTTGAGTTATGCTTTTTAGGTATAGAATTTAGATAAAATAATATGGGACTTGAAATTTACAAAGATAAATAGATGATTTTGTTGGTAAAATAGAGATATTTTATTAACCCTTCATAGTCTCATTAAGATTGGAGCCTAAAAATTGTTTTCACTAGTTATTTCTAAGAGATTGTGTAATTTAAGTTTTTGCAAATATACTTGACTTTGACTTGAGAAAGCTTTTTTAAGTGAATTGAAATCTTAGACTAACTCTTATTTTTATTAAAAATATATTTAAGATAAATTAATTTAAGTTTTATGAAATACAAAAGGGAGAGATAATCCTAAATTCTTATCTCTTGAAGTCAAAGTTTCAACAAGTTTTAATTGCTTTAAAACAATTTTAATTCAATTTTTATTACACAAACATACTCTTAATTTTGCTTAACCTAACTCAAATAAGCCTTATTTGCCTAAGTCCTCATGGAAATAATAACTTTAAAATATTCTATATTTGTGACGACCCGTACGCTTGTGGTAATGCTTGACAGTGAACATCCATGACCTTGCACCCTAAGCCTACCTTGTATACTAAACCTATGACCTTACACACCATAAAGGTGCAAATTTCATTAAAATATAACCTATTATTCTAAAAGTGATGGTCTACAAGAAAATAATAACACAAACAATTGATTGTTTAGATCATAAGCATGTAATACATGAAATTTTTGAAGTCTAACATGTAATATAGGCTTGGGATGCAAGGTCATAGGTTGTGAGTGCAAATTGATAAGCTTTATATGCAAAGTGATAAGTTTGATTATTTTTGTTTTGGTTTGGGAGAGTTTTCTTTCCTTTCTTTTTATTTTAATGTGGAAATCTGCTGCAAATTTTTCTTCACACAAAGAAATCTGATGTAATTTGAATATGAAGGAATGAGTCAAATAATAGGTCATTTATGTATCTACTACATAGGATATGTATAACTTTAGGCCCTGTTTGGTACGTGGCATTGGAGGGTTGGGACTGGGTTTGAGTAATACCACTTTTAACATATTTAGTATGAAGCATTCAACAATCCTTAGGCTTGCTCAGTCCCACTTAAATAGGAATACTCAAATCTATGACCTCTTGGTATTGCAAAATCTATCCTAGGATTAAAATTTTCTTAATTGAAATGCCCTTGTAAAAATGCCTACATTTTGCTCCTCCCTTGAAGAACTCTAGCGCTTTACCTTCCTTCTCCACCATCGATGATCTCCAGAGCTCTACTAACTTGCTTCTCCTTTGTCAATGACACTTCCTCTATTGATCATCATTGCGATGTGAAGCGCTCTTCTCCATTTTCTTATTGATCTCATCTTAGGTGCTCATCTCCATCAATCGATCTCCTACACAACGTCGAAAGCCTTCATCTTTAGAGCAAAGAGTGATCGTGGTAGGCAGGCAGAGAGTGAGAGTGAGCGAGAGGGAGGGAGGGATAGGTTCGATTACGCACAATAGAGAATATGGGTTTTTGGGGTTACAACTTTTTTTATTAATTATACAAGGTATTATGGTCTTTTCATAATTTATACTTAATTTTAAAATAAAATAAATGAAAGTATTCCCTACAATTATTACTCCATATCAAATATAATTTTAAAGTTTTATTTTCATTCTCATTCTCAATCTCAATAATACCAATGTCAATCCCAATCCCTTCAAACTCAAACATGCATACTAAACAGGCTTTAAAGTTTCCTTTAGGTCTTTGGTCTTTCAAAAAAGAATAATCTAAAATAAAAGCACGTAGCCACTTTTCTTTAAATTATATGGTTCTTCATTTTATTTTATTTTCAGTATTTATTCCAACCTTTCTTGAAAATAAAAAGGAAATGATGGTCGGGAAAGAAAATACAAAATAAATTATATACCCTACCTTAGTTTTATTGAAATTACGCATGCCTACAACTTATTTAAAGGAGGTTCAAATATTTTTTAAAATTAGAAAAAACATATATATCTATATTTATATTATTGCATCAAAAATATCCAATAAGTTTGTTCAATTTTTCCATTAAAAAAAATTGCAAAATCTGTCTTAATTTTATAAAATTAAAGTATATAATTTTTTTTTTTTTAAAAAAACCCAAACACACACACACACACAAACAAAAGTCAATAGATATACTTCTTGTGAAATTCAGCCTTAGGAGTGGGACAGCTGACCCACACAGTTCCCACCATACAATACCATGCAACAAAAAGCCAGAGCTTGCTTAACCAGAAAGTAAATACGCAAACCAGTGAGTTAGCACGTCCTGTTGCCGAAAATTAGTTAAAGTTGTATTACACCAAGTTCTTAAAGCAATTAAACAGTGTCTCAAAGACTGGCCATCTAACAACAACAACAACAACAACAACACGTCCTTTTTTCTGATTAGCTTCACCTTCTTTCGACCTTCTCACTCCTCACTTCTCTACTGCATCAAATCAACCTCCCTCCAGTTCTGTCTTCACAGGTAATCTTTTTCTACATTATCTTCTCTGAATCTATCTAGTACAAGTTAAATCGTCGGAAATATTTGATCAGATTCAAACGTTTAAGTACAATTCTGAGGGGTTGTGGTGCTGCTTAACCTAATCTTGGTTCTTTCGTGGCAGCAATAAGAAACATGGGGAGTGAAGCACCAAGTTGGGCTGATCAATGGGGGGCAGGTGGTATTGGTGCTATGGAAGATGATGCCATGAAATCCCAAAACAACACAGCCAAGAACAAGAAAGCCAAGTCTAGTTTTGCTTCCAAAGCCAAAACAGCTGCAGTGGTTTGTGCGCAAAAGATCAGAAGAGGGACTTGTTCTTCTGTCCAATGGATCAAACACAAATGCCAGAGAACAAGGTAGATTCAATTCCAGTGAATCATAAACACAAACAGGACTGTTTTTGTGTGGTATGTTTGTAACTGATTGTAATTACATGACTGATCTGTCTGATGCTGCCAAAGATCTCGTGTTAAAAGTGGGTCACTTTTTTTTTTTTTTTGGTTGCTGCTGCTGCAGATGAATTGGTCCTTAAGGCACTTTGTTTCACTTCCTTGTTCTTTTCTTTGTTCCTATTATCTTGCTGGAAAAACTAACCATGTAAAAATGAAATCGATCACTTAATCACCTTCTTTAAGTTTAGCTACGGCAGCCTGCCAGCCTCACAGACAAGAACAAGACTCTTCCTTCCCCATCTACGTTATCCACAAGCAACAACTCAACAAGATATTTCGATTTTATTAATTTTTTTCCCTTAGGATTTTAGATAAAATTTTAAAACAATCCCTCTAATTACCGAAGGAAAGCATTTTTGAGATTTCAACGGTCCAAGACAGAATATCATTATTTGTTTTTCTTTTAGATCATGGTCAGAAGCTTCTCTCTACGTGCCAACTACTAGTACAAATTAATTTGCCATAGATGGCATACAAAACTAGCTTGTTTACTATTGAAAGCAAAAGAACACCATGTCACAATAATGATAATATAGTAACATGGCCCTAAATAAACGGCACCGAATAACTGAATAGCAATATTGTTGATATTAAAAACCAGTACTTAAGAAATAGTCAAAATGCAGAATAATATACGGTAGGGTAAAAACAGCAAAGTAATAAACTAGCAAATGCTATTTACAGAGAAGGTCATAAGTTGAGCCTAATGGGATCCGAAGGTGTTTTCTCCGCTGTAAGTCATGTATAGAAAGCCATCTTCATCCTTGTGTTCCTCATAAATAGCAGACATCAACGCAGCTGCAATAACAAGAGGTTAAGTTCATGAGCTCAAACGATGAGCTTTAGAATACTCGGTATGAAACACCATAACTTACCAGTTGGAGGTAGAATGTTATTGATGAAAACAAATATAGCCTTCTCTGCACTGAGTTTAATCCTCTTACGTATAACATAAACAAACTGACCGACAGACAAGTCACCTGGAACAAGGTACCTACAATCATAACCAAAAGAGAACAGAATTATGTGAGAATCCACTAATGCAACCAGAACCAGCTCACCAATTTGCATTGATCAAACGAACATCTAACAATCTCATTCTTGATAGTCAAGAACATAAAATCAAGTAAGCTTCGATATTCCAAAATTCAAATCTCATGTCTGACTCGTATGGAGTGTTGCAGTTAAAAGCTAGATCAGCTTTCATCGTATTCATTCAGTCAAATAAGAACAATCTCATGGGAAACTCAGAATGGGAATTAAAACAGTAACTTGAAAAGTTCAATGTAATTATTGAAAACAGAGAAGTATAGATGGCACAAAGGCATTTACTTCTTCTTATCAACATCTGCAATGTCACTTCTGTCAGCTCTCTCCACAATCACCTGCACCAAAAACCTGGGCTTCAACTAGAGCACTTTTGAGAAATACAAACAAGCAAAGAATTTATAATTGATGGTAATCTTACAGGAATTCTATCAGGATACTTCTCTCTGATGCGAGCAGATTCCTCCAACCTTTTTTCTGAAATATTCAAGACAAAATGAAAAATCAAGGAATACGCTAAGCAAAGGAATTAAAAGAATATCGCAACACAATATATGGCCTCGAAGCTTGACGTTGAAATCTTCATGCAAATAACTCCAATTAAACCCAATGCTAAATCAGATAAGAATAAGATGGGCAGCATTGAACTTAGACAACACCAAGTGCTCTTTATATACCCTAAAGCCAAAAGAATGAGGACGATTCCAAAGAAATAGCCCAATAAATTCACAAACTTGTCAACTTAATGATTGAAATATATTTGCTCATTCCCCTTATTTCCACATACTATGCTGTTGATAAAGTCATATATCATTTATCCAATATACATATAGGAAGAACCAAGTAATTCTTTTCGATCTCATCTAATAGTATTCTTTTAAGCAGAATACTATTAGATGAGATCAAATAACTTCTAACGCACACCCAGGTCAAAAATTTACAAGGAGATATTAGAACTTAGAATCTTCAGATCTGATTCTCATGAAAATCATTGACATTCTCATTCATTCGGTACAGATATTCAAACACTGAGTATCAAAAATAAAAATTTTAAAATAGCCGAAGGAAAATACTTGGGGTAAAAACATGAATGTAATGATCATACATTAATGGTGGAAAGAAAATAATCACTTAAAGAATGATTAATACAATAATCTTAGGCTATGTTAGGTAAATGCAAGATGGGGTAATGGACTGGGAATAAGAGTAGGAATGACTTATTACCTTATTTGGGGTATGGGAGTGGCCATTCCAATGGGATGACTCATTATCTCATTTGAGGTAATCCCCATTCCATCACCAGACCATGGAAATAGGTTCATTCCATGAGAATGAATTTTTGAGAGACCGAACTGTCCCTGTGATGTTTCACAAACTCATATTTTACCATAAACCAAAGTCTCTATCCCTTCCTATGTTGCTATCAAATCTGGGTTCAGAATTTTGACGACCTCAAAATTGTTCAATAGCTCACCAAAGACCTTCACCTCCCCATCATTGGACCTTCTTTTGCTCACACTCCGCCATCTCACCATCAACCTTCGTTATCTAACCCTCTACTTTGCCATTGAACTTATTTGTTCAGCTTCCTCTTTCATGGGATCTGGTTTTGGATATCTGTTATTTGTTGATCTATTGAGATTTTTTTTTTATTGAAGTTGTAAATCTGGGTTTATGTTCAGTTTTTGAATCATATGGGTTTATGTTCAGTTTACACGAATCATCTGGATCTGGTTCGAGATTGACAACCTCAACGCTTTTGGTTTTTGGAATTCTCAGCCTATTGTATTTGATTTTTTTTTCTTTAGAATTTAAATATGGAATTTGTGGGTTCAATTATTGTGGAATTTTTTGCCATAGAATTTAAATCTGGTTTGAGTTCTATTTGCTGGATTTGCTATGATTTGTTGTATTCCGATGAGGAAGAAGCAGGAGGAAGAAGATAATGGTGGGTATTCAGGAGTATTTTATTATTTTACTATTATAATTACCTAAATAAAATAAAAATTAGATAATCATTCCATCTCCATACCAAACATTTTTCAAGCTCACTCCCATTCCCTTTCCTATTCTCATTCCCATTTTTATTCCGATTCCCATACTATCAAAAATCATTCCACCATACCAACCGGGCCTTAGAAGAGAGATCAGATATCATGAAAGTTAAACTGCGCAAAAAGATAGGGAAACAAATAATGGCTTCCTTTTATCTCTCTTGCAAGAATAAGAAAATCCAAAAGCTCAAAAGGTTCCAAGTTCCAACAAAAAGCTTTAAACTTTCTTATCAACGCTCACTAACTTAGACGTTCAAATGGAGGTTTAGCCTCACCATATCGCAGATCAGTCCAGTACTTCTCCACTTAATGCAACATTGGAATCGTGTAATTCAACAAAACTAAGAATAACCCACAAACAGCACCAGAACTAGTGCAAATTCAGTAATCAAATTGCAAAGATGTTGTACCCAATGGATTGTCAAGCTTGAAGGAACTCTTAGCCATGATGAAATCCGCACAGCGACAACTCCCTGCAAATTTCAAACAAAGAAACATCACAGACTGCATATAACATCACTCTCTTCTCAACCAAGAAAAAAAAACGTGATTGAGAAAGACGAGCAAAACCGGGAAACAAAAACTAAATTAACATACCGAACAAGAAAAAGCCCAATGATCAGGGATTTCGACAAACATAAGAGACAAGGAAGAGATGAGAGTGAGTCAAAGAGAGAAAAAGGGAATTTACCGAAACTTTTCGAAGGACTAAAAGACGAAAGGAAAGAAAGGAAGGCTTCACAGACGAAAAAGAAGCCTATCAGGGTTTTGGATTTTGTTGGGAGACGGGAAATAAAATCCACATCGATATATATAGTTTCCTAATTAACGCATCCCGGAAAGATCGCCCCTTCCTGAAGAGATCTTTGCTGTTACTCCAAAACGCCAGCGTTTATTATTATTTTTTTCTATTTTACATTATTCTCGCTTACAGATTATATAAACTAATTTTAAGATCACAATCTTCTAAAATTTTACATTTACTATTCGTTAGGAATTATATCTAGATATAATATTAAAAGACTTATGTATTTAATATGTTTTTATTCAATTAAAATAAGATAAAAATTTCAATAAATTAACAATATTAGTAATTAAAGTTTTTTAATAATTTATAAATGATTCATATGTTTTAATTTAATTAAAAACAAGTATGTTAAGTACATAAATTTTTCCTATATCCATCAATTATGGCTTGATTAAAAATAAATACACCAACTATGCTAGAAAACTTTTTTTTTATTATTCTCTATGAAAAATTTGGGAAAAGACCAGAGCACTATTATTTTTTATCGCATAAATTTCTCTATTTTTTATTTTTCTCCTATATTTAAACGAAGCATTAATTTCCTTTACAGTGGGTTGTTGATTCTCAAAACCTAATCATAGCACTAACCCATCATCATCTGCTGATATTTTTTTTTTTTAAAAACCATCATCACTCATTCTCCACTCGAGCCGTGTCTCCACTATTATCTACTGATTTGGCAACAAGCAGCTTGAAATTCGCATTCTGGTTTGCTGTATCCTTTCCCTTCATTATTATAAGATATTTTTAACTGAATCACATCATTTTATCAACTAGTTAAGTAACTTACATGTTCCCTCGAAATTCTACACCCAAGTTATCGCACAACAACCTACGACACACAAATTTTTTGCTCTTAACCTTATGGGATTTAATCCAAGAATCTCTCACTAGACCATAATAAAGTTGCCCATTGCTCCCCCCCACAAAAAAAAAAAAAACCACCTCAAATATACCCCCCTTCTTAATTTCTTATGTATAGCTTCTCTTTTATATATATATATATATCCTAGAAAAATTGTGTAGTTCTAAATATAAATCATTTTGCAAGAGTTGTGTAGTATCCCGCCCCCCAAAAAAAAAACACCATTCTTCTTAATTTCCAATGAGGAGATACAGTATGCTTTTTTTAAAAAAAAAATTGTGGCATTATTTGGGTTAAAGATAAAATGTTTACGGTATCATTTGGGTTAAAGATAAAAATCAAAGCAATTTTTAGATAATTTTTAATGATGTAACTAATTTTTCGTAATGCGCGTGAGTTAGTCATAAATGGCTACCTAAATAGTACCGGAGGGAGTACATTACTGTAATTAAAAAAAAAAAAATCCTTAAGCTAAGGAACTGAAAAAGAGGGAGAGGGAGAGCAGTTTCCTCCTTGTTCTTCTGTTTTCCCAACCGAGCAGAAAACAGGAAATGCCAAAGAAAGTCAAGATAGATTAATAATGATGATAATAATAATCCATCAGTCATTCACATAAAATGATTAGGCTCAGAAGATAGAGCTTCTTCTGCTTAAACAAATCATAATCTAGCAGCACACCAGCATAAACAAATCATAACCTAGCAGCACGCTACGCTAATTAACATCATTAACAGTGTTAAATTGACGCGGCATCATCATCTTCACGATGGTGAACCGGCCAAGCTCCTAATCCTGCTTGAACGCCTCACAGGAGTCACAGTTGTCACAGTCCCTCCATCACCATGTCCCTGAGACAAGACAATAAAAATCAAACATTTTTTCTCATACACACCAAATATAGTGTATAGTATAGAAGTCAACAAATGAAGAAAGAGAACTCACATGCTTGTTTGAGATTTTCTCATAAGTGGTGAAGCTTCCATAGGAGGCAGAACCACCACCCATGGAGTCTGAAGAAGAAGCGAGAGATTCCCTCCTATAGTTCCTCTTTGGCTTCTTCTTCTCCATGCTTTGAGCTTCATTCTGCTCCTTCTCTACTCTTTGGCTACAATAGTATGATGAGCTCTTCTCAAAACTGCTCATTTCTGAAGGGCATGACTCACCAAGAACGTCCATTTCTATTGGGTTATTCCTCAGAAATGGCTTTTCCAGTGAAGAGGCCTCCTCTTTGTGCAATGGCTTAGTCGAGGGAGGTTGCTCCATTGAACTAGCTGTAGTAGTAGTATCAGCCCTTGTTCTTCTTCCTACATCTTCCTTCTTCAAGAACTTGAACGCTGCACCAGAAATTATGGATAGAAAGAGAAGTATAGATGCAGCAATAACTGTTCCTAGAGATTTTTCCTCTGATTTCAGTTGTACATCATGATGCACTTTGGTATGAATCTCGGAACTAGGTTCACTGTCACTATGAATTTCAGTGGTCTCAGCAACTTCAGAGTTCAAATCTGACTGATCCTGAAGGTCCACAATGCCAGTAGCATCCTTATTTGGAGCCTGCTTTGCTTGTAAATTATTTGCTTCAAATTTTTCAGTATGAATTTCCTGAGTCTCAGCGTTACTTTCTGACTGACTGGATTCACTAACCTCATCAGATGAAGCACTTTCAACTTCAGTGTTACCTTCTGATTGATTTGGTTCACTCACCTCAATGTTTGAAGCAGATGAAGCACTTTCAACTTCAGCATGAATTTCATGAGTCTCTGAATCTGAAAAATCGGTGTTACTTTCTGACTTATTGGGTTCACCAACCTGAGCAAACTCCCCAATTTTTGAAGCAGATGAAGCAATTTCAACTTCAGCAATAACTACCCCATCAGTATCAATCTCTTTGGCAGCATCATTGTCATCTGTGATTGGTGGGACTGGTTCCAATTCCTGAACTGCTACTTCTTGTTCTTCATATGCTGAAGCATAATGATCTGCCATAATAATATCTCCAATATCATCTTGAGTAGAAGTGTCTGTGAAATCATCAGCATCTTCAACGTTCAATACTGGCATATCCAGTTGTAGAGCTTCTCGTATTAGATTTCCATCATGACCAAATATAGGAAACTGATAAACCTCAATATTTTCTGTCAACTCAGTCAGGTTCCAATGATGCAAGTGGCCAGAATTCTGGACTCCTATAAATGATGGTTCCAATTTTGAAGTTGAGGACATCAACTTGGTAAACCAGATATGAAAATTTCCAGTCAAGATGTCCAAATTTTCTTTGGCTAACTCCGAAAAACGATCAAAATTGGCTGTTGCAAACTGGTAAAACTCAGAGGAATCACAAGTCTGAGACCAAGTGGCGAGTTCTTTAAAGAATGGATCAAAGACCTGAGGATTTGTATTTGAGAATGAAAAACAAGCAATTGAGAGAAGCAAAAGCAGAGCAATGGCTTTTGATCTCATGGAGAAGCCCGGTTTAGCAACTCCTTTTGCTTCAGCAATCTCTTCCTCCGACATGAGTGTACTTGCTTCAGAAACATGATTCTGATCTTCACTGAGTATTTCATCCGAAGAAACTTCTGATTCCTTCTCTGACCCACCAGACGATGCCTCCTCTGTTAGCTCTGTATCTGACAAGCCGTCATCTAACTTGGTAGATTTCCTTTCTCTGTAAAGTTGAAGTCTTGGGTTTGGTTTATAGCGAAGAAACTGGGGTCTTGGAGAAAGGTAATTCACTTTAGGATCATATGGAAGAATCAAAGGATCATCTTTAGGATCATATGGTGGAATCAAAGGATCAGCATCAAGAGGAGCTATGATGGTCGAGGTTGATGAAAATGGAGGAGGGGTAGGACTAAGCCTAAAAGATGGATCAAGATTAACAAAATCAGGCGCACTAGTCACAGGTTCAAATGCTGATTCTGTTTCATTCATCGAATTCAAACCTTCAGCTTCCAAATCTTCAGAAACCATGGAAGACATATGTTCCTCCATGTCGTCTTTGATGATCCCATCAGTAAAAGGATGAAGCTTTCGACTGGGGCTTCTTGCTTCAGCTTTTAAATCTTCAGAAACCATGTAAGCTGCATGTTCTTCACTGTCTTCTTCAACGAGCTCATCAAACCAAGGTTGAAACGTTTTCTCTTCAACAGAATCTGCGAATGTTACCTTACGAGTGGGGCTTTTATGCTTGTCTACCTCTTCCTTGATGATCCCATCAGAAAAAGTTTGAAACTTGTTTTCATCAAGAGAATCTGCGAAAGTAACCTTTCGATTGGGGCTTTTAACTTCAGTCGAGGAAAATGAAGTTCTTGCTGGCTCATTCCTGTCCGTGAGCACTTTCTTTCTTGGAGACTCTGTAATCTTAGAGGAAGCAGATATAGTTGGAGACATGAAATTTTTCATGCCCTTCATCGAAGCAGCTGGAGATCGAACCTTCGACGATTTAAGAATATGTTCTTTCCCATTTTCTTTGTCATCAAGGTTGCCAAGGGACTCTATGCTTTCTTTACCACCAATAGAGTTTCTTCGTGGGAAATCTGCAAAAAAGAAAAAAAAAAGTTCAGAACAGTCTTGGCAATGAAGAAAGAAACCCAGAAACTAACATCATCACATGTAAATTTTGAATCGAAAAGAGAATAATTTTATAAACTTTCCTACAATTTCTCACTGACCAAACGACAAATATAAAGAAAGAAAATACATATCAACACCAAGAGCTACTAGATTAGTCATAGAGAAAGAACAACCTGTAGATTCATTTTCCAAGATTTTCCCATCGAACAACCAGTACTAATATTGACATTCATAAAAATATAAAAACAATGAAATTACGAGAAATGAAAAATCTGAAAAAGTAGAAAAGTAAAACCCGAAGGACTATTGGCTGGAGTGTTGGGGTTGAAACTCCTAGGATTTGAGATGATAGAAGGTTTGTGGAAAGGGTTTCCACTGAAACTCCTTCTGACAGCGTTACTGATTTCAGAGTTTCTCAGATTAGGGTTTGATCTGCTTGATGCTGCCGCTAAAGAGGAAGATGAAGACCTGTTTGAAGGCATAGCCATTGATGAACGAATTGAATGAGATACAGAATAGAGAGAGGAGTGAGAGTATTGACGAGAAAGGAAGGACAATCAAGAAGCGATCTGAGAGAAATTTGATTCAGAAAATCGTGAAGCGTTGGAAGTAACGGCTATAATTTGAGGAGAGAGAGAGAAAGAGAGCAGAACGAAGGATTTAATTCACGAGGGAGATTTGACCGTTGGAAAAGTTTAGAGCCGTTGAATGATTGGAGCCGTTGGATTATTTAAAAACTTGAACGGCGTCAAGAAGTCAATAAAATATATTTTACGAGGAATGAAAAGATTTATATTTTATTTTATTTTTTACCCTTTTTTGGCCAGCAATTTAATTTACTTTTATTATCAAAGCAAGAAAAGTTAATTAATTTTATTTTTTTATTACTTATAGATATTCTCTTGTTAAAAAAAATATACTCCATTCATTTAAAAGTATAAAATACTTTTAATCAAACCCACCTTCAATAAAATAGTTACCTATTTTTTAACTAACCTTATCTTTTTATATTTATCTCTATTAAACACCCTATAATAAATATAAGGTCATTATTAATAGAAATACTTTAAAAAAAATGTAATGATTACACCTTAAAAAATTAAAAATACTTTATATTTTTAAACATTATTAGATTTTTTGAATGGAAGGAGCTCAATTATTTTCTATATCCTTTCAATTATTTTTGGCCACCATCATTTAATTATTCTAATCCATTATTTTCTGGGATCCTCGATTATTTTTCTATAAACAGTAATTGTTTGTCATTTTTTATCTGCCTCCCAAATCGGATAATCTTATTTTGATGAAAAAAATCATTCTACGCAAAAAAGGTTTGCCGATAAAATAAAAATAAATTACAATGACATCCTTTTTGTTTTGCTAAAGTTACAGAGATCCTCCTTTATTTTTAAAACCCACACTTTAGTCTAATTTCTAACACCATTAAAAATATTCTGTTAAATATTACAAGATACTTTAAATTTTTTTTAATTTTAAAAAACTTAAAATTATTAATTTTCTCTTATAATCTAATTTTATATTCTCTACTCCTCAATTTAATGAACTTTAAATAATTTTGAAAATAGTTAAATAAATAATTAAAAAATATTTTGTTTAAATTAAATAAATTTAAAGAAAATAAATATAAATTATAATGAATAATTTATTTTTTATTATATATTTCATCATATTTCAATATGTTTTTTTATATACATGTTTGAAATTTTTTTGGAAAACTTTTGTATTTATATTTTTTTAAAAAATTACTAAATAAAATTTTCTAAAATAATAAAAAATGTTTAAAATATGAATAAAATTTTAAAAAACATGTGCATTAGCTTTTTTTTATTTTAAATGATTTTTAAATAATACTTCAAAAAGGCATTTTGGTCTAATATATATGACTTAATGGTAAACTAATTGTTAGGTGAATGAAAATAAATTTTTAAAATATAGAAGGGAGATTTGTGTTTTAAAAATATTGATTTTAAAAGAGATTCATATATATTTTAAAAATAGAAAGGATGTGTCTATAATTAAGATAAAATAGAAAGAATATCATTGTATTTTACTCTGAAAATAATAGCTTACACTAAATATTCACTCAACCAAATTTCAAAGAGTTAGCCTACGAGTTGCCATTTTATTGTTCAACATATATGAGGTCAAAGCTAATGATTTCATGTTGAATTTCACTCTCAAGTGTCATAACATAAGGTGGCCATGCTGGTCCGCATGAGATTGCAGGTGCCTCAAACCACTTCAATTACCACATAGGCCATCACATATAATTTCTAGATCCAATTTCATTTTCACTTATCTACATGTAATTTTAGCATATTATGCTCAGCATAAATGTTTACACTTCAAAAGAGCCCAATCAATTCTTTAGTGTCATTTAACAATATTTTTTTTCATTCCTATGTATATATATATATGTTAAGTTTTAGTGAGTTTAGCAATGGTTTTTTATTCTTGCGCGCACGCGCGCATGTGTGTTAAGTTTCAGTGAGTTAAATTCCAAAAGTTATCAGAGAGAGAGAGTGAGTATGTGCACGCGCGTGCGTGTGGGTGTGTGTTAAGTTTCAGTGAGTTAAATTTCAAAAGTTTATTAGCATTAATATTTCTAGGTTTAGGGTGTTTTTGAATTTCAGTTAGATAAAATAATTGTAAAAAAATTGATTATTAAAAAGAACTTCAAAATAATTAATTATTAGTTGAAACTCCAAACTGCTTCTCCCACCATGGAGTTTCAGAGCCATAATTGATTATCAAACTAGGTTTTATAAAACGGGATATTTGGGTGATTTTTTACCAAAATGGAGTTTAAAGAATCATAATTAATTATGCAAAGGGTATCTAAGCACACTTTTAGAGTACTTATAAAAGTATTTACAGATTGTATCGGCCAAATCCTTACCATTTTGACAAAACTCTGTTGGTCTTAGCATTCATTTAACAATACGATATTTGCAGTCATTCATGCAGTCTTTTTTTTCCCCCCAATGAAAGAATTCCGACCAATGCTCGATTCCATTTTGTCTAAGGCAAATATAGACATCAACACTAGTAGAGCTTCAAAATTAGCTTCTTATTTCATTTTCAATTAAATTCTATTAGCAGTAGAAACAACTTGCACATCTTTTTATTCTGCATTGCTTTTATTTCAATGATTCATCAATTCAAGGGTATGTACCGACAAATTGACTCGTCTCCCACAATAAAATGGCAAACTAATCTATGCCATAACCTACCCTATTATTGCATGCTACCAAAAAAAAGGGTTCACTATGTACAATCATTTAATTTAATGCTTAAATTGAAGCTTATGCCTAATCCTGTACAGGAAAGGAAAAGAGAGACTTGAACTTGCAGATGGCTCATTTTCTACCCATTGAATTCTCATGTTGACTTGCGTGCAGCGTGGTAAAGTTCCAGATAGTCAAGAGCAGGTCGGTTCCAGGACCAGTCTTGCTCCATTACAGTCTTGCATAATGTATTAAACCAATCACGGCCATCATACCATGCTGATATTGCCCTGTAGAGAAAATTTCACTTGAGATTTAGATATTACATGGTGAAACATTTTCAGAAATGCCGATGTGTGAAGGGTGTCAACAATCGCTACTGCAACAGCAATTAGCATGAATGGGCAAGCAATGTGATAAAACGTTCAGTGATGTCATGTTTAAAATTGCAAAAAATTTACTTTCAACTCCTTCATCATCAGAAAGTATTATATATGACCAGGATATAAGTCAGTGCTACAGGGCAAGGAGCTCCTTTTTCTATCCACACATATATAACTCTCAGTAAGAGGAAAAAAACTGGCATTTTAAGTGTAAGTGCAGCACTAGGAACAGGGAAAATCCACTAGTCCTACTGTACAGTCTGTATTCAGAATCCAAAATAAATTGATGTAGGTGGTTTTATTCTTAGCCATTTAAGATAACTGTCAAGTGGTTTTGAAGTCCTGAAGTTAGCAAGTCAAAATTCATCGTGCTGAGATTTAGCTGCCTAATATTACCAATATGACTCACCTATTAAGAGCATAATCAACACCTCCAGCATCAGCTCCATCAAAACTGAATCCATTTGGTTCAAGACCTTGCGCTTGTGCTCTTTCCTTATCGTTATCAACATCAAACACAGTATCATATAGTCCTGCATAAGTATAAGATGATGCATGATAAAAGGTACCACAAATACATAGCAATGGAATGAACATGAAACTTGGCCATAAATTCCTTCAAAACCAAAAAGAAAAGAAAAGAAAAGAAAAAAGGTGGGCTGTACTAATTTAATTAGGTTGGCCCTGCTTGCTTGAATGAGCAGGACACATAACTAAATTAAGGCTTTCGCATTCCAATGTATTAGAAAAAGAAAAAAACATGGGAGCCACTGAAGAAAGAAATATTTACCGAAAACAACCGAAAAAAGAAAGGGGGAAAAAATAAGTGTATGAACCTCCAGTTTTTCTAACAATAGGTATTGAACCATATCTCATTGCTGTGAGTTGAGTTAGTCCACATGGCTCAAAAATTGAAGGAACTAGAATAAAATCAGCACCAGCATATATCTAGGAAAGAGAGAGAGAGAGAAATGAGTCAGCAATAACCAGCGCATTAGCTTTAAAAATGATAAATTACTAGGAATCTTGTTTTCAATAGGAGGTTACCAAGTGTGAAAGCGGTTCGTCATATGTAAGACGTAGTCTCGCACGGTCATGATGAGCAGAATGCAACTCGTTGGACAAATTAATGAAATCATTCTGGATACGAGGATCTGGAGCTGAACCAAGTAACACAACCTGCATTTGCAGCCATTCTGGTAATTCATGCATTTTATAATAAATGTAAACAAATTTCAAATCAGAAAATAAAACCTAATAAATAATTTATGCATTGGCCAAAAGAAAGAAATTATGCGGCCTTGCATTGACATGGGCTCTGGGCTTGTGATGAATATTACGTAAACATGAAGCATAAAATCTGCTTTTGAGAAGGGCATAGAAAGATTGTGGGGTGAAAATAACATACTAATTATCCAATACCATGATTACCCCTAAACCAATTGACTTGAAGCCTTAGACAATAAGTGAAGGCTCAAATGTTTCTAATCTCAACCATGCATGCTTTCACTTCAAATGCGAAAATCACTTGGAATAACAAAGTGGATAAGATACAAGTTCAGGCTCCCTTGTTTTGAATTTTTATTTGACTATAAGAATGATAGAAACAGGGATTGAACTCAAGAAGGCATAGTCAAGGAGATTTTCGTAGTCCCTTGTCATATACCACTTGGCTTAATCCGTAAAATGTCACGGAAGGGATTGAATAAAGATATGGAAGAATGAAGGACAGAGACAAATTGTTCTCTGATTCAACGTGATATTCAACCAGGGACTTGCGGTTTCAAGATGCATAAATGGGATCTGACTGGCAAGGATCAAAATAGTATTGTAATTCTAAAACCTAAATTTTGCTCAAAGTCTCACAATCGGCTCTAATAATGTCTATGTTCTGAAACCATTATGCAGGAAATGCACAATTATAAAATATTGACAGTGCAGAGTTTGATTTTAAAGAAAAATAAAGGAAGACCTGTCCACCACGATCTAGAGTGCGCCATATAGCATGTTTGATGAGATGGATTCCTTTCTGATGAGTCAATCGAGTAATAATTCCTACTAAAGGAATATCAGCCCGTCTTAGACCAAGCCTTTGTTGCAAGGCTTCCTTGGCAGCTCTTTTGCCTTCAACAACATTATCCGCTGTGTATGATACCTGAAATAATGTTATATCAGAACTAATCATAATTCCATTAGCAGGCATAACAGATCCTGATGAAACAAAATCAAGTCTTTTCACAATACATATTATTTCAGATTCCACAGATATATTCTTCATCTCATCAATCTATAACAACCATTCCCAAAGTAGTCAAATGATAATAATAATAAGGCAATAAACTTCAATATAATTTGTAGAGCAATATAATTGGGTTGTTCATAAGATAGTAAAATCTCATAAAGGATGAGCAAGTCATTACTGCTTCTTACACAAGGGAAATAATTTAGGCCAAAATGGCCATTCAGAAATGTAATAGGAACTGTCCAACTCTATAAAGCAGACATAGGTTACAAATTTATGAAGTGGTTAAAATCTCAGGACATCAGTTTGAGAACTAAATGTCAGTCTTTAAATTTAGAAGCTAAAAAAGAGAGCATATGTTAACTCACAGGTATGAACTTATCATTATATGGGTCCCATATATCTGGGTCAATTCCATTTAATATTCCATGGAACTTGTGAAGATGAGGAGCAACTGCAGGGTTTCCAGCAACCTCCCTTGAATAAGTTGGGGAGACCTGCCAACATAAACAGGAATCATGAACATGCCATGAAGGGGGGAAAAAAATAGAAAACCACAATCATTTTCTTGTTCCCTTCAAGATTGCCAAATGCTTAATTGTCAAATTAATTTTGACAACATATTTTCAATAGAACTCTAGGGTGTGTTTGGATTTCAGTTGGGCATAGCTAATTACAGAAAAAAAATTGATTATGCTATGTGGTATATAATTGATTTATCAAATTGATTAATGAGATTAATTTTCATTAGAATTGAAAAGCAAAATTGAAAATAAGATAAAACTATGGTTTTGTGGAAGTATATCCAACACTCCTGTTACATGTCAAAATTAATTATAAATCTAAAATCATATTTTCCAAAAAATATTCAAATACCTATCATACATGCCAAAATCAATTATGAACCCAAAACCATGATTTTCTTAAAAATATCTAAACACCCTCCTTCATGCCAAAATCAATTATGAACCAAAACCACTGTTATCTCATAAACTACTATTACCTACTTTTTAATTCATATTTTCAACCATACTTTTCTAAAAATTTATCCAAAAATCATATAAATTATTTTACAAATCATATTTTTGGGTTTATAATTGATTTTGACATGTATAGAAATGTTTGGATATCTTAAAGAAAAACATGGTTTTGGATTTAAAATTAATTTTGGCAAGTACAACGAGTGTTTTGATGTTTTTAGGAAAACATAGTTTTATGTTCATAATTAATTTTAACATGTAATAGGGGTGTTCGGATATATTTTCACAAAATCATGCTTTTGACCTCTAAAATTGATTATAGAGGTTATCCAAACAAGAACTCAGGCGTTACACAGGTTTGTCACTAAACTTTTACAACATTTTCAATTAGATTCCTGCACTTTGGGAACTATTAATGTAGCCTTTATAATCATAATATAAATAATATAATCATGTCTGCCATAACATGGGAGGAGTCTGTTTAAAAGTTTCCTTTGTAGCCACGATAAACCAATCATCTGACACATGAATATCAAAAAGCAATAAACCATCAGCTCAATGTGAGGGCATTAGAATGAACCAAATCTACTAAAGCTTTTGGCCCATAAAGAAACATCACAAAAGTTTGAGCTGTTGGGTGAAGTACTGGAATATTTAACTGAATAGCACAAAAGTTTGGAGGTGTTCTCTATAACCATATTGCCTCAGGTCTCACAAATACACAGTAGAATGAGATCTCAGATATGGTGGTTTTGCCATTGGTTGAGATATGACCATGAGTGACTGGAGCAGAAAGACGGGGTTAAAATGTTTGAACCAATAATCTGATTCTGGAGGACCGTATCATTGGCTGCCTATGATGAAATAGAAAATATTAGATGATTCTTTTTGACAAATTGTCATTACAAAGTTCTCTATATGTTGAATACGAGTTGGGCCCACTTATCAACAGTGGCAACTTGTGCTAATTAGTTTCTAAGTAGGTTTACTTTTCTGTCATTTATTTTCCAGATATGATAGGATACTACTCATGATAACGTTGCTGATATAATTCTGATTGTAACATGAGATTTGGTGTGATACAAGGTTACCAAAGTCTATTTATTTTCTAAACCCTACGGCTGAATAACAGAAAATACTTTTGAGTCTTCCTCACGTTATCTTTTGATTTCCTTTCCTACCACCCTAACCCCACCACGGTTGCACAAATTTCAGAAACCTACTCTCTCTCTGGTTTTGTACTTTAAAAGCTCTTAAACCTCCGCTGTCAACCAAAATGAAACATGAGCTTGAGAGAAAATAAATTAAAATATTAATGGTGATTAATACGACTGACTAACGGCAAGAAAAAAAATTGCAGTGATAAATTGAATACTGCATAGAAATTATGAAAATTCACAAGTTTTGAGCATGTTGAACACTTACAGTTGTAGCCTTGTCAGCATACGTCATGGCTTTTCCAATCAAGGCAGCTCCAAATTCAAGATTATGAATTGTAAAGATAACTCGTGCTTTACTAAGACCATATTGCATATAATGATCTTTATATAGCCATGCAACTGGTGCACTTGACCAATCATGGCAGTGGATGATATCCTGCCCATTGTTAGAAGAGCATCAATTACCATAGATTCTAGGAGACAAAAATCAATTCCAAGACAAATTTTTTCTTTTAAAAAAAGGATTTATTACAGGTTTACACTCCCAAAATATAGTCATAGATGCAGCTAGAAATACTAACAAGAAACAGCCTAGTGGCAGAGAAAAGCTGCGCTCTTGTAAAGGCAGTTTCTGGTAAATGCAATTTTAAAATGATAGTTTGGAATGCCACTGTTTCATATGACGTATTCTTATTTTTATGTTCATGCATAAGAAATTTCGGATACAATTATGGATATGTGTGGCCACCAGTGATGCCTGGAATAAGCAACATAAGAATCTACCACTATTCACTAAAAATGTAATAAGAAAGGAAGGCCAAACCTGATTGTGGATACCTAACTATTGACAGAAACAACATCGTGCACATATAATATTTTATCAGGGTAGTAAATGTTTCATCAAAGTTTTGAAGTAACAACTCAATTAAAAGTCAAATATATCTTACGGGATGAAATCCATCCTGGAGAAGAAACTCAAGAGCAGCATGGCAAAAGAAACCAAATCTCTCGCCATCGTTCCCACGGCCATATACACAGCCAACCCCAAAGAATCTGCAACAAAAATTATGAAATGACCATGAACGGGATAAATGCACTAAACAGAAGGTTGTCAATGATAATCACTTCAAAAATGTTAGCTTGTGAGTGACCAATTAAAATTAAAAATGTAATTATTTATTAAACTCAGTAATGGGCGATAAGAAACATAAGAAAGGAACAAGAAGAAATAAAAGGATGCAAAAATCCAAATAACTCTTACCCATTTTGAGGCTCCAAAAAGTAAACAGAGAGGCCTTCAACCTTTCCATGCCATACTTTTATTTCAGTTCCACTCCAGGAGTAGCTTTTCCGATATTGCAAGTCCTTTACCTGCACCAGAAGGCATATATGAAAACAGCTATTTCAAAAACAAGTATCAGCGTGTAAACAGATCAAAAGTAAACTAAATAAATTTTCAACCAAATGCAAACAAACGTGAAACAATAACCTTGTAAGTCTTTCAGTTCCAGAGGAACCACAAGGAAAAGAGATGTATATAATCTCAATTTTATAAAGTGATGGTTTTGGCAACCATGGAAATTTTAACAAATGATGATTCCAAATTTAATGAATAATTCCTCAAATTTCCTTGCAGATAGACCTTGCAGATCGAGAGAAAATAAATATTTTCTTTCATCTCCACACAACACTCCAAACAATATTTATATAACCACAGTCTCTGATCAAGAGGTTTAAAAAAAACAAGCTTTTCTCAATAGGACAAGTTGGGAAATAATATTTTAAGGAATAGACAAACAACCAAGAAGCAATACAAGGACAAAAGCAGAGGAAAAGAACTTACATGGCTAAGGTTCAAACAGTCATACTTTGGAAGAATGATATCCACATTATGATTTAAATCCTGAACAGCACGAGAAAGACTGGTAACAACATCACCAAGGCCTCCAACCTGTAAAATATGCAGAAAATAAGAATTGAAAAACCATGATAATTGCAAATTCATCCCAGCATGGCTATATCAGGAGAAATTCTGAATGACTATAACTAACACTCAGCACATAATTGAACTGAAACCTCACAAATTCTTTTCCTTGAGACCTTCCTGTCACTTATGTAGTAGTAGTAGTAGTAGTAATTGCCTGACTACTACTCATCCAATTTCATGAATATCATGGTCATGTATATTACTCTTAAATTTTAGGTTATTTTATCCAATCTATGTTTGAAAAGTATGTGAAATTGTACATAATACAATAATAGTGCAACAACCTTCCTGTCCTAATAATAAAAGGAAAAGAAAGAATGATAAGTCAAACAATCAGTCTTGCATCGAGCAAATGACACAGCTCAATGTAATTATACTCTTAATTTAAATCAGATAGAGAAAGCACAAAGACTGGGCAGAAAAATAATAATTTCCAGTATACAGTATATGATTAATGTATGCCAATAGCCCAATACCTTGAGGTTGAGGCAGGAAAAAGAGAAAAAGAGAGAGACAGAGAAAGTCAACAGTTCAATAGCATATTCTTTATTCAGTTCATCCACAAGGATATTGTTTGTTTTCTCATATATTAAAGGTCTTACTGAATCTAACATCCTTACCTCACAATACTAAATGTCAACATTCTTACAACACCATCCAGAATCCAGAAATTTTAAACCATTTTTTCCTTTCCCATCAAATATTAGCACATGTAAACTCTATTGATGCCCACCCATGATCACACTAAAACATTCAGCCATAAGTGTAATGTAATTTTCACAAAAAGGAAATTTAAAATAACAGGAAATACAACTAGCATATTAAATTCCATGCTAGAGAGATCACTGAAAACCATAACCTTTGCAAAAGTACCAACCATAGCACATCCATAAGATAAGTGGTGATATTACTTTAATTGAATTCATTATACATCAAAAACTTTGCAAGTCACAAATTAAATAAGTCCACACCGAAACATGCAGATGATGTTGACATAAGATTGATGTAGCTAACATACTTTGGCAATTGGGGCCATCTCAACAGCAATATGTACAATATGCATAGGTGGTTCTTTCACAATTCCTCCAAAAACAGGTATGTGATAATCCATTCCATAGTTATTGTCAAATTCCCCACCATCTTCCCTCTCAGAGAAAACAAAGTCCATCATGTATGCGTCCAGTGGTACCTTGACTGCAGAAAACAAAATCATAAAACTTCTTCAGTCAAAAAATGTACAAGTTAATGAACAACAAACTCACTATTATGTCCTAATGGCTGGAGATTGCAAAGCGATTGAGAAAGACATAATTTCAATGATGGCAAAACTTCAAATTTGAACGGAAAAAGATCTTATATTTAAATTGTCTGCCATAACATGTTATTGCTATTATGATGCAACAAAGATCCATGAAAATCCAATCCAGATACAATCATAAGTAATACATTTATATGAGCTCCTGATATGGCATGGCCATGACAATTACCCAGGATGCATAATTTCAGACAAAGGCCAGTCTACAACTTATGGGGGAGTAAACATTTACAAGGAGGGTGACAAGCCATTCAAGGATAGGCAGTTCTCTAACCAAAAGAACATCATTACCAAAACTGAGTGTTAACACGGTCAGCTGATAAGATCAGGCCAGGTTAAAAAATATAGGGAAGAATTTGGCCCATTAACAAGCTGATCCTGGTCATAAGCTAAAGGCTTGTTCTTGAAATACCCAGACTGACACGTCATATATATCTTTTGCCTTACTCCACCTTCCAACTGTTCTCAGCTATATACCCACTGTTACTTCTCGGAGTGATTTGGCTCCTCTTTTGCTTGTTATATTTGACTCTATTTGAAACTTTTCTGTAATGCATATGATTTGGCTGCTCTTTTGCTTGTTGTGTTTGGGCCTCCCTTTTTCTTGCTGGAACGAAAATTATATTGAGTTTCTGAGTTTGGCTCATGTTCAGCATCATTTTTTGGTATTATGTAGATGTCAAACAAGTGAAGATATATGATATTCTATTTTAGTAATTTTGAGAGGATGCATGCTACAAATTTTGTGCGCTTGTTTCTATCACACAGCATATAATGTATGATGATGTTGTTTTAATAATGTTTGATGTTCTTGAAACTTTATGGTTAATGTTGAAGTGAGTTGTATGTTGTTGTAGACTTGAAGTTGAATGTTAATTATGGAATGCTTTTTTTTTTTTCCTTTTCTTTTGATAAAAAGGAAGACATGATTATGGAATGTTTATGCTGAATGATGAATCGATGATATTGTGGGTTGTATTGATGATGCTTATGGTTGAATTGATGATTTCATTGTTGAATATATGATTCCCTCTCGGTTATTGTCAGTTCAGCACTTCATTTTCATTGTTTTGCATCAAGCACAGGTACTTTTCAAGGAAAAAAAAAACAGAGATAGCCCAGCCCGCTGCTGCCTAACCCGTCCTAGTTTTTCCTGGACCCAGTCTGCTAGGCCCATTCTTAGCCCTATTATTTGCAATCCCATATCAAAATTCATAATACACATATTTGGCAGTTCTCTCGACCATATTTCACAAGCCTCATACCCTTCAATGAATTTAGTACAAAAATAAGTGACAAGAAAATGAGAAATTTACCAAGCAACCGGAAAAACATTAAAATCCATCATGCGGCTACACTAAATTCATCCTTCAAATATGAATCAAGAGAGAAAACTCACCAGAGGTTTTGAGATGAGTGCCATTCTCCGCAGGTAACATTCTCACAGGTGAAAGTGGACCTTTACGGTGTGTCCAACGATTAAATGAACATCTAAACCAGACCACAGGTTTTCCATTCAAATTTGTGTTGGTGGGATTATAATAAACTGTTACTGTGCCGCCTGCTTGAAGATCAAGAGGCTCAGTATAGACAACATGCTTTTGGGAAAGCAAAAACCCTTTTAGAGTTCTCGCCTTTGTTTCAGCTTTCATACGTGCTGTTCTTTCAACCTACAACAAGAACAGGGCCAAGTGAACGAGAAGGGTCGCTTTAATACCCATGATTTTTTTACTTTATTTTGAAACACTTTAAATCAAAATAAACACAATGTTTCAGGTACTTGCTCACTAAAAGAATTGAAGGGCATGTTTGCTTTGAGTCATTTCACATTTTCATTTCATTATCTGAAAATAGACATGAAAAGCGTGGTTGAATTCATTGTACTATTTTTTTTTTCCTCTAAGGCAACGGACTTCACATTTCCAGAAATTCTTCTTACTATTTTAAGAAACTGGAAACCTGAAAATGGAAATAGATTAACAAAATGAAGATAGGAAATATTTTTAGCAAAAACAAAGTGAAAGACACTCTAAATAGTCCATCAGATCAAAGTAAAGAAAGAAGAAGAAGAAGAAGAGCTTTGTCCTAGGTTTTGAGAGACAATAGCTTTACAAATCTACTAGGCCACCATTTATATAGCTTTACATAGACAAAAATATGGAACCAGGTGATTTAACAAGTTTTTATATATTTATGTGAGGAAGAACCTTGATGCTGTTATCTGAAATTTGACTCTCAGAATAAACTAACCTTGGCACGTATAGCTTCTTCCCTGAGCCTCCTCTCCTCCTGCAGTTTCTGGTATATCCGCTGCTCTTCCCCAGCCCAATATTGTTCATCAGGCACGGCATTTGGGACAATAGAATGGAAGTCTTGCCTCTTGTTGTTATCATAAACAGATGCTTTCTGTGGTGGACCATTAGCAAACACCCAATCCAGGAGAAAGGCTTGATTGGGTACAACAACTGCATAAAATATAACTAATCAAGAACATGTTCTGTACTTGCAATCAAGTTCTAAGAGAAAAAGTGATGGCTGAGGATCTTTAACAGATTTCCAAGATGGTAACTGTTGTTCATAATTATGTATTCATACTGACATTGCTCAAGACCTACTCATTATGTTGGCAAGAAGAAGCTGAAATCAGTTCTAGCAATATTACATTTTATGGATGAGAGACATTAAGTCTGAATAGGGGAATAGTCCTTCACCTGATGTATCACATTGATATAAATTACATGCTCCCTTAAAACTGTGCAACATTTTTCTTCATTGTTTAAAGTTATATGATTAAATCGGAAGAGAGCTTAAGGAAAATAATCTACCTCTATTTTGGATCTGTAGAATAAAGGGTACTTTGGAACCAAATAATAATCCTTACTGTAGAAATCCGCACACTTGATTAATGGACTCAATCATATATCAGAAGATGCCATGATAAATAAATAAATGGTAAGCAGACTTGCATTTTAAAAACAAGGAGATAGCTTCCTCAAACTCCTAGAACAATACACCACAGTTCAGCTTCTTAATTTCTCTATTCATGCAGACATTTATAAGGCCAGTAACAAAGTAATTAGAACAAATACGAACCTAGGATAGGGAGAGGGGGGGAATCTAAATGAACATACCATCAGCATGCCACCAATCACCATCCTTTGAGCTAGAACGGACAAGCTGTTCAGCAAATGATATCCCAACCTTCCAATTATTGTGTCCCCCATGAACCCATACTTCATTAGAATGTGACAGAGGACCTAAACTTCTGTTATAATATAACCTGATCAAGTCCTTGCCTTTGAATTCACTTGGTTCTATATACCAAACATTATCCATGGATCTCACAGCTTTCTTAAGCAATTGTTGAAATGTTTCTCGCAATCTTTCAGTCTCCACCCTTGCCTGCAGCCTGTCAGCTTCTTTTGCAGCTTTCTCTTCTTCAATTTTTCTCTGCTCTTCTGCTAGCCTTTCCTTTTCTGCTTGCTCTTTGGCAAGATCTTCTAATTCTTTACGCTTCTTCTCTAGAAGAAAATCTTCAAATGATAATGCATCCATTTCACCATTAACAGATACAGAGAAGTCCTTTCCGTCATTATTATCATAGACATTTTGCCCATTGAAGAACACAAAATCCAATTTATAAGCTTCTCTTGGAACATTCAGATGGCAAGACCACCAATCACCCTTTAGATGTGTTTTATTCAACCGTAGGTTAAATGATTTCCACCTCCAATCATTAAAAGCCCCCATAATTAAAACATCTGGCTCATTATTTAAAGTTGAAAGACTCCTGTTCAAGAATACTTCAATATCTTGATCAGCTTTAACCACAGAAGGATATACAAACAGCTTGTTCCCTAGAGAAAAATTTTCCTCTGCAATCCTCTCTATTTCTTGCTTGCGTAACTTTGCTTCCAACTCTAACTTCAACTGTCGAGAAGCTTCCTCTCGTTTGCGCAACTTTTCCTCCATCTCTAGCTTCAATAGTCGTGCAGCTTCCTCTTGTTTGCGTAAATTCTCCTCAATTTCTAACTGCAAAAGTCGGGAAGCTTCCTCTATTTTGTGTAAATTTTCTTCCATCTCTAAGTTTGATGACTGAGAAGCTTCATCTTGTTTGAGTACTGCCTCCTTCTCTAGCTTTGATTGTTGAGCATCCTCTTTCAGTTTGAGGAAACTTGCCTCTACCTCTAACTTTGACGGTGGGGAGGCTTCCTCAGTCATTTTATCATCAGTATCAACATTAGTTCCTTTCATGGTTTCATCAATTTTCTCATATATTAATAGCTTTCTCTCTGAATCCTGAACATTACCATTATCCCTTATTTCAGAGGTTTCTTCATTCTGTGGTTCGAGAAGGTCCTCTTCAATTGGGGAAGTGGTTCCGTTTTCAGTTTTAGCAACATCCAATGTATTGTGCAACGATGATAATTCACTAGCTTTCACAGCACCTTCATCAGTTCTATCTACCTCAGTTTTCTTCTCCTGAGAAAACACAACAGCCCCCTCTTCCTCAGGATCAATCTTAACGTCAACTGCTTTTTTGTCATCCTCTGAGATCTCACTAGCTGTTGGAGTAAATGAATCCCCTCTAACTCCGTTCTTCTTTTGTCCTCTCTTGTGGTTTCTTGTTCCAAGAGGTGATCTTGGCATGAAACCCTTTGAAGGAGGGTCCCTAGACCTTGCAGTTGAAATCCTCCTCAGTCTCCTACGGGAAAAATCTACCAAACACATAAAGGCCCAATTATAGGAGAAAAGTAAATGATAACACTGAGGCGGGAAAGAAGCGTGCAATTAAAAGATTGCTTTCAAACCTGGAGCAGAATTGATGCAATAAGAACCCCAACCTGTGATGCACTCTTTGTGCCGTATCAAACACTGTAACGTCAAGGATTAATTCAGTATGCTCAGCATGGAAACTAAACAACTAAAATTGCATTTATAGTTCAAATATGTCGTTGTAACATGATTAGAAGAGAGCAAATTGTATAACTAATAAGAGCAAAAGTACAAGATGACCAAATTACAATCAGAAAGATAGGGAATGATTGACTGAAAACCCAAATAGTAATTATTAAAAAAAAAAAAAACAACACCACCACCACCAAAGACCATTACTACCACAAAATCAGTGAATTGAATAGAGTATTCTCGAGCATCACCAGAAGTCTACAACAAAATCAAAATAAATCCTCCTCAGAATTAGAAAATAGGTCAATATGATCTCCGAAAATTCAGACCAGCAACGACAGAGAGACGTGACACACAAAGGCAACAAACAATTTCGGCGACAAGAAAGCACAGCGCTTACTTGGTAGCCAGCTGAAGTTCTTCCAATAGGGAAAGACCCAGTGAATGGTTTGAACTTCACACAGCCTCTATCGCCGAACAAGGTTCCACAGTTCATTGGCCTCTGCAAATGTAAGGACATCTCCATGGCTTCTGCTTCCAAGAATGCTCGTTCTCCAACAATGACTATGCTTCCTCAACACTGTATTAATGATCACCAAAACATGCTTCTGATTGATTCAGCACACGATCAATCTCTTAATAAATTCGAGCTCATAAACAGAAATAAATAAATTTCTCACTCCCATTTCCAACGAATAAAAAAAAAAAGTGAGAAAATGAAATCTACTTGTAATACGCGCCTGTGCTTCTGCTGCTTTGATAACAGCGGAAAGAGCAGCTTCAATCTCGGCCATAAGTATAAAATTTAACACGTACGTCCGGTGCAACGTTACAGACTGCGCCTAGTTTGTTGACCGATAGATTTAAGTGAAGATGATCAGGTGTGAGATCGAGCGGTGATTATGATAAGTGATTATGGTGACTCGTGAACTTGGTCACAGTGTAGTAAGTAGAGGTAGCATTGTGACTCTGTCTGAGATATGATCCATGCACTAGCTGTGAAGATTTTCGGAGGTTTGTGGGCGATGATTGAGTGCAACAAAGAGAACTAACCAAAATCTACAACATCCAATACGAACATGCCGCGTCAGGAAAACAACGAGGTGGGTTTATTTTATTCCAACGTTAATTTATTGACTTAAAGCCTGAAAACCAGAAAATCAGGGCCAAGGGGACACGTGACTTCTATTTCTTTTTCTTTTTCTTTTTTTAATCAGAATGATGATTGTGGAGTAAATTTTGATCTCTCTAGCGAACGGAGTGGGAGGAAGGTAGCCGAAAATAACGGAGTGAGAGAAAAATATTTTCAACGCAAAAATTATGGCTATGTTCATGCCTTCATGGCAATTCAAAGAAAATTAAACATCAACTTGAAATAAGGTCGATGGGATTTAATAAAATGATTAAAATATATTAAATTTTTAAATTAATCAAATTATATTTAATATTTTTCTGTCAAATATTTATTTATAAATTAATTTTTATTGTAATATTATTTTTCAAGAATAAAAATTAATGTGACTATAAAGTATTTTAGATTTCAGTAAAAAAAAAAGTGCTTTAGGTTTAAAATCCTTTCCCTCATGATAGGTAACTTCCTCTCCTTTTTATTTTCTTTCTCGCATGTGAGAGTAATTTTCTCTTCTGACCATTTCCTCTTTTTAGTGATCTTTTTTGGCAATTGTATTTTTTTGGCCCACCAAGTGTAATGGGATTATTGACACGTGTTAATGCGAATGAGAATGATGCTTGATAGTGTGAAAATGAATTATGTTGCAGATAGCCTTGTAATCTAGCAACATTAATGCATTATGCTCATCTTCGTTGGCATCAAATCAAGGTTCAATTTCACATGTTACTTGTCGTAATTAAAAAAAAAAACAAAGAGAGAGATCACAATATTTAGATAGAAATTGATAATTGATAATAATCGTTGTTTGATGTTCTCCATAATATCAGTATATCCAAGGAAACGTTTATAATAGATGCATTTGTAGTTGGAGACAAAAATTTGTAACTCTTGAGACGAAGTTACTTTCACATTGTTTTGGTTTTCGAGTTTTCAAGCACACACGAATATTGTTCTTGTCTCTCCCAATTTATGATACATTTACTCCTTAAATACAAGGGATTTTAATTTGGTATTTAGGGTTAAAAATATAAATATATATATATATATATATATAAAGTGCTATATCTTCATATGTATTAGAACTCTCATCATAGCATTACTAAACACTAACATAATAAATTGAACAAAGATTTGATTAATCAAAGAAACAATGAATGACCACCAACAGTACTCCATTCAAAGTTCAACCCTAAATATAGGATCTACTTCACTAATTCATAAATATTAAAAAAGTTGGTTAAATTGTTTTTTCCTTATAAAATGGTTAAATTTGTTAACTGCAATGATGGTGTAGAAATTATGTATAACTTTACCTAAATGAGTATTAAAAAAAAACGGAGAGGAGGAGAGAGATTATTAAAAAAGTATAAAGGAGCGAGAAAAAGTGTGCAAAGGGCAATATGGGAAAAACTTAATGGGGATAACAAAGTGGATCAAGGTCTTATATTTAGGACCAAACCATATCCATCAACCAACCCTTAAGATGTGTTTAGATATGTGGAGATTTCAATTTGAATTTGAATACATAAAAGCTTTTGGATTTAGATTTAATCCAAATTTAAATTTATATTTTATTATAATTTTTTTGTAATTTTAAATTTTACCTAAACCTTAATTATTTGAAATTTCACAAACTCCAACCTTCTCATTTTATTAATGTTTTCATTATTATTGTCTTTTTTATTCTTGACACTCCTCTCATTTTATTATTCTTGTCACTCCTCTGATTTCTCATTTTCATCCTTTATTGATTAAAAAATAGATGTAAACTTGTCATTGCATCCAAACAATATCAAGGATTCAAACCTTGTAAATGAGAATAAAAAAAATTTCGGATTTACCCACACAAATCTTATCAAGCAGTACTGAATGTAAAATAATTGTAAGAAATTAAAAAAAAAAAAAAACACACACACACACACACAATGAAGAACAGAAAATGATACTTTTTTGACCCAGTTGTCAAGCAAATATTTAGCTGGATGTTGTATGTCACTTGCACAGCAACAACTTGACAAAAATAACCCAAAAAAAAAAAAAAAACAGAGCAGCAATGTCATGTTGAAAGAAAACAAGTGTTGTATACAGAGAGAATCAGTCAAGTAGCACCCACTTGGTGAAAGAACTAGTGCAACTCATGCAAATATCTCTACTTAAGATGCATTATCTCTGGGGACGTTATATCAGATATGAGCCAAAACCAAAGAGGCCAAGTTGGTTTGGATAACATCTCTGTGCATTCTAAACTGCATCTTTTGTATAAGTGGCAAGACACAGATGAAGCTCTTGAGTGTTTTTTCTATACCTGAATCACCCATATTGTGATGAAATCTTATTCAATTATGAAAAATGAAGAAGATAATGGATGAATTCCTGATCACTTAGTCATTGAAGTTTTCACACTATGTCATTGACCACTTTTCCCAAAAGCACTAATGTTGAGGGGCATGTCACTTTAGTAATTAGTATGAAACTCTAGATTCATATTTTTGAGTACTGCCACAAAGGAAAACCTAGTAATTTAATCATAGCCTTCAACAAAAGTCTAGCTGACAAGACAGTTGAGCTAGCAAACAGAGATTTCATAGGTCTAACAATCAAACAAGCTAATTTAATAGCCGTCCTGGTCAAGTTGAATGAATTTGGTATGCCATCAAAAAGATTCTAAAAATTGAAGTTTAGTATAAGAAACAGCAGCATGAGATATTGTAAGACTCAATTTAGATACATGGTATGAACAGTTCTACAAAGCTCACAACATAAACCATCACAATAGCTAGAAATTATATGAATTTGATGTGAGTTTAGGAAAATATTGCTCTGAAAGTACAATCAAAATGAGGTTGAGGCTAAACTGGCAGATCTGTGAATCTTTAAAACGTACTGTTATTACATATATAGCAGGGAGAGAAGAAGAATTTAGCTTACAGAGAATGTTGGAATGCTCAGTCCGTTTCAGATTATATTGCAGATCTCTTAAAGCACAAAGGGTTGTGCAGATGAGCAAGAACAACGGGAGGGAAAAGGTCTAAAATCTTGCATAACTGTTCTTAAACAACAATATTTGGATTTAAAAAAAAATACCATTATAATACCTATGTAGAATTATAGGAACACAAATGTGGATGTGAGAAGAGCCATGATTTAAGAAGCATGGATACTTGCAGGAATACAGAACACAACAACACAAAATCTGTAGTATCGAGCAGAATCTGATGCACCAATGCTTCATCTCACCACTTTGTTCCTCTATGTTAGGGCATTGGCACCAGCAACAATTTCCAGAATTTCACCTGTGATCTTGGCTTGACGTTCCCTGTTGTATACCCTTGACAAGTTCCTCTTCAATTCCACAGCGTTATCAGTGGCATTACTCATAGCACTCATTCTAGCAGCTAGCTCACTGGCTAGTGATTCCTGCAGTGCTCTAAGAATCTGAGAATTCAAGTACAGAGGCAATAAGGCATCAAGAATCTGAACTGGGTCCTGCTCAAACTGCAAAATAGGGGAGAAATCGTCTGTTTTAGTCCTCAAAACATCTCTCTCAACAGTCAACTTCCCTTCCCTTGTAGTCAACCTAAAGAACTCATCTTCAGCAGCATCCACACAGTTACCATTCAAATCACAAATCTCTCCTTTTGGTGACAAAGGCAGTAGAGTATGAATCACAGGATCAGATTTCACTAAAGACACAAACTTTGTGTATAATAACTCAACTTTATCAACCTCTTCACTTACAAATAACGAGAAAACATCATCTGCAATGGCCTGAGCTTCTTTTGCAGTTGGAAGAGTTCCTTGTTCGAGAAATCTATCGACTGGGATATAAGGCCTACGAAGGAAATACGAATTACCCTTTTTCCCAACGCTAATGATGGTATAATCAAGACCCAGTTCCTTCAATTCTGCAATTCTGGCTTCTGCTTTTTTAATGATTTGGTTATTGAAACCCCCACAGAGACCTCGATCTCCAGTACAAACAACCAAAGCGACCTTCTTAACGGGTCGAACTTTTGTGAGAGGAACGTCGACGTCTTCGATTTGGAGTTGCTCATTGATGTTGTAAAGGACTTCGACAAGGGTCTCGGAGAAAGGCCTGCCATTAACGACAGCTTCTTGAGCTCTTCTGACTTTTGCGGCGGCGACGAGCTTCATGGCCTCCGTGATTTTCTGGGTGTTCTTCACAGAATCAATTCGGTCCCTGAGCTCACGAAGACCACACTGGATTTGGGTCACAGAGGATCGCGAAGGAGATGGGTTCTGAGAAGGAAGGTGGAAAAGGGGGCTAAGAGATGCACGGAAGGAGAGGGAAGAAGCATCGGATAAAGAAGGTTTCGAAGAAACCCACATTGTCAGATTGGAGCAAGACATGCTTGTCGAAATGGGAATTCTCCGAAGAAGAGGAAGAAGAAGAAAGGGAATGTGGGTTTTGTATCCGGGTGGTAAAGATGGTGTCTTTTTTGTCTCTGGTTTTTGATGATCTTATCTTGAAGAAGAAGTAGAGGATTATATTTTGAGGTGGAAAGGAGGAGAGGAATGAGTGGAGGGAGAGGAGGGATGGGATGAGGTTTAAGGATAACGATTTTGACTGTAGGAGACGAGAGATAAGCCGATGCTCAAAATTATGATACGTTAATATTCATCACTCGTTCCTTTGTGTGGGTCCAGAGTCTAATGTAGTTTCATATGAGTGGATCACAGTGCATGGGCACATGCGGCTGTTCGACGGGTTATTCTCTTCTGCAGCCAAGCCGGGTTCTAACTTCCAAGTTAACATTGAATGTGATCAAACGATCACTAACAAAGCATTTCATTTAAGACAGGTTCAACAATTTACCAACTTAACCCATTAAACTGACAATATCTTTAATACTATCACCCATTGTACAGAGACAACGATTGTGTATGTAGTGAGATTTTCTTCATGTGTGTTTACCCTTCCTTCTCAATTCTTAACAAAATTTTATTGTATTTCTATCCGAAAGTTTTTTTATGATATGGACTTAGTAATGGGTCAAACTCTAGAAATCAAGATTGGGGCTAGGCCTGTACTTCTGGAATTTGGATTCCTTACCCTCCCTAAATTTCTGCCGCGTCCAAATGCAATATAAAGGAATAAATAAATGAAATATTAAAAAAAAGGAATAAATTAATCAATTATAAATATTTGAACTTCAAAATTTTACTTAGCCCTTGCATAGATATAAGCAATGTAGAGGATCAAAATTCGTATTTTTCTTCTACTTTACAGCTTCATTTGGGTTAAAAAAAAAAAAATCAAGTAACACCAGCTCCCCCACTTGGGGGGAGGGGATAAACACTCCCTCCTATTTAAAATATAAACATTTCCTCTCAATTAATCTTAATTTAAAATCTAAGCAACCTATTACAAGTTAAAAAAAAATCCATTTTACCCCTTCTATTTATTAATATAGATATTTGTGTAAGTGTGTCTCTTGCTCATCATATGATGGATTGGTAATTTAGACTAAAGGTAAAAAAAATCAATATATATTTTTATAAGAATTTGAACTTTATTGGTACGCAAATTTTTCCCAAAAACTGCTCATATTTTGGTCCAGAAGGAGTAGACTTTAGCATGAACAAGCCCGAAATGTTGAAAAGATGATTAAAACAGACTCCCACTTTGTTGAATATTAGTTATTCCTAAACATGCAGACAAACAACCATCATAACGGAAACCCTGAGGACAAATATCTGAGATTAAAGCATTGAACTCGAAGGCAGACTACTAGCAAGCGCCGAATGAGAATAGTAAGCATAACGTCTGAAATTGGTGTTTGCTGAAGATGAGAAATGATTTTGGATAAATATTCAACAGAAAAACTGAAAATGTGACCTATTAAGATGTGAAGAACTTTACAGGTAGTTAGTACAAGTAGATGACTTACGTCTCTCTTCTTTCCCCTAAAATAAGTGGCTTTACAATGGCATTATAGGTATTCTGGTCAGGAATTACTCCCTTGAGTACCATGTAGTCATGCAACGCAATAGCTTCCTCATGCCTGCATTTCCTGATGAAATAGTTAACAACTGTTGTGTATGTTATAACGTCGGGACGAATGCCCTGCATGATCATCACCTTCATCAATTCTTCGGCTTCCTGATCACAGCCAAACTTACAGAGAAGGTTAATCAGTGTATTATATGTGACTCTGTTTGCAGATATTCCTGAGCTCTTCATCTTGGAAGCCAAATTGAACACCTCATCGATCTGTGCACTACTGCAATACCCATTAATCAAAGTGTTATAAGTTGTGACATTAATAGACTTTCTCCTTTCCAGCTCTTCAAATAGACATTTTGCAACATCCATGGAGACCACTCTACATAGACCATTAATGACAGAATTGTATATTACCAAGTTTGGCTCCTTCTCCATCTTTATCATTCCATCATAAACTTGAAGCACATTTTGGATGTTGCCTTGCTTGCCATACCCATCAATTAAAGTTCCGAATGTATATATATCAGGAGTTAGACCACGTACAAACATTCTGCCGAGCAGCTGCTTAGCTCCTGCCAAATTTTTGCTCCTGCAAATATAGTAGAGCAGTATGTTAAGAGAAAAGCCATCCTTAAGCATGTCATTTTCTATAATCCTGTTATGAAGCTTAAGAGCCTCAGTCACATATCCATTGCTACAAAGCCCTTTTGTGAGTATGGAATAGGAGTACTGATCAGGGGGTATACACTTGTCAATCATGTCAGATAATAGTGAAGATGCTTCCTTAATATCTCCTTCCCGATAAAGCCAGTATAAAATTGAATTGAACACAACAGTATTAGGAGTCAGTCCTCTTTCAACCATTTCATCACACAGCAGCAGTGCCTCTTCCAAACTTCCCCATCTGGCATACCCATCAACTAAGGTAGCATAAGTCCTAACGTTTGGCTCAAACCCTGCCCTGATCATTTCATTGTACATCTTTTCTGCAAGTATTAGTTTTCCTTTCTTGCAGCAGCCGTTAATGATGCAATTGTAAGTCACAGCGTTGGGGCAAACAGAACCTCCTGTCATCGTTGACATCTTTGTGAGAAGCTTAAGGGAAAGAGCCAAGTCACCAGTTTTGCAAGCCCCATCCATCATCATGTCGAAAGAAACAATATTAGGAAAAATTCCACACTTCAACATTCGATAAAGCACTGAAATAGCTTCCATCAATCTACCTTCCTTAGAAAAAGCATATATTAGCAAATTATAGGTATTCACGTTTTCTACATAGCCATAAGAAACCATCTCCTCATACAATTCCCAGAACCTATCCATTCCATTCACTTCCAACACATGATTCAGGAAATTATTCCAAGCATGAATTGTAACCCAGCAGCCTCGGAGTCTTAGCTTATTGATCACACCATAAGCACCTTCAGTGTTCCCAAGCTGAGTACAAGCCCTCACCAATGAATCAAAAACATCAAGACTTGACCTGCATCTTTGGTAGCTATCTGTCAGTCCTTCCAATATCTCCAAAGGAGAAATACCCTCTTTACCAATCAAGTTTCGCATAAGACACAATGCATCATCAAATCTCCTTGACTTAACCAATACATGGATTATGGTACAACATGATTCTAACGAGTGTGAGAACAACTTATCTTCAACCCAATTGTAAAAGTCTAAAGCTAACTGGGCCGAGTTCTGGAACTCACAAACAACTCGATTCACCAACGAATTCGTTAATTTTGAAGATAGTTGCCCTAAGCATCTCCATCTCCTTTGTTTCAAATGAAGACAAACTGTCCTAAAAATGATATCTTCAGCACTTGGGTTTGAGAAATGCTTTCCGACGTGTATAGCTCGACTCAAAAGGTGACTTCTTCTAGATAAAAAGGTCGAAAACATAGAAAGCTCAAACCCAGTAAATCAAAAATCCAAATATCTGCGCAATATTAAGTTCATGAAAAAGGGGAAGAGTAACGGCGAATATACGGTATCTACCCTGTTACAGAATCATGGAAATTGCAAAAAAGGAGAGCCCAGACGATGAAATATTAAATATAGTATAATATAATATAACGGCAACCTTGACTGGAAATAGTAAAATGAATGGAAGGTTTACCTTAGAAGAAAGTTGGTCCGCTGAAACTCTATTGAAGCTGTCCTGAGCAATGAAATCGCCGTAACTGTCTATACAGAGGCAGAAGAGCGCTCGGCTTATCTACATCTCCTGTGCTGCTCCTGTAAAACAACGTCGTCTCAATTAAATAATAATACCTTTTGAGATCTGTAAGCGCGAAAAGATGAAGAAGATAGATGGAGTGAGACTGAGAGCACTGCCTATGTTTTTTCATTTTTGGGGGTAGTTTCTGTGGGTGCTTTTGATATTCATATAAAGTTTATTTCTTTGCTGTGGTAGGGTAAGCTTGGTTCTTGTTGAGGTGACTGACAAAGACCAGGCCATGAGAGCAGAGCTGAAGAAGTTGTGAACTTGGTACAGAAACAGAGCAATCCATTTCTGTCTTTTCCCTATTTTCTCGTCAATTGTTTCTAAAAATGTCCGTTGCTTGTGTCTTTTTTTTAGTTTTTTTTGGGAGTCTGTTCGCTTCATGATCGCGCTGGGTAGTGAGGCTCTTGTATTTTATTTTTTAGTATTTCTTGTTGGGATTTCCTAGTTCTAGCTCTAGTTCCAGCTGTGTCCATCTAAGAAATCCTCGATCAGGACTTTCATCAAACACCTTGCATACAACCAGAAAAGCGAAGAAATGCACGAAGCAATGAGGAGGAATTCTAGTCTCCTACAGGTACAACGATCTACGGAGACTTACAGAATTGGGGTAATGACAGACCACAAGAGACGAACAAAATGAGGGAAGAAAACAGAGGGAGTGCAACAAACTAGGGGGCAAAAATGGACGGCGAGGATCTTCCAAGCCAACGGCGTTATGATCCGTTCTTTAGTAGAGCCGCTAACTCCGGGAGCTGTAAGACGCCCATTTAGCGAAAAACTCAGGATTTTAGGCTTACTCGAGGTTGCCCAAAAGAAATCACGCATTATTAGAGTTTTTTTTTTTTTACCCCTAGATTTTTGGAACCAATTTCAGTACCTTTTTTTTTTCTGGGGTTGAAAAACTGGAAATTCCATTACAAAAACAAAAATATTACATCAGAAAAATTATTCTAAACTAACTTCATCATCTTCTACCAAGCATCCAGCAAGCCAATTTCAATGAACAAGATGTAGTGTTATTAAACCCGAATTATTTCTTTGTTTTTTTTTTTGTCAAATTTTTCCTTCAAATTTCATCCACCTAGCCAAGCAGCACGACAATGGAGAAGGGGAGATTGACGAGGAGAACAGAAATGGTGAGAGACTGAAAGAATGATGGAGAGTGGAAACCAACACGACGATGGTGAAGGATTGACTGCTGACTACTGACTACTGAGAGGGATAAATGGAGAAGGAAAACGAAGTCAACGAACTGACCTTCAAGAACAGAGTTTCACGTCGGCGGCGAGATCATCGGGTTGAGAAGACAGAGAGCACAGGGGAGACTGAGAGAGGAAGAAGCCGAGAGGGTGACGGGCGGCGGGAGGGGTTCGGGGGCAGCGATGCCGCCACGCCGGCGAGATTAAGAAGACGGAACAGCCGACAGGATTTACTATTTGTTAATCTCACTCACTATTTCACACTCTTGAGTTCAACTAATTTGGTATAAGATAAACTCATGATAGACTCGTACAGTAACTCGTTAGTTAGATACAATTACTGAATTGCCCCTTCCTCCCTTCGTTGCCTTGCTCACTGGAACCCCTTGCCGCTTTCGGAGGTCTATGGGTGGGCTAACACAAATTGGTTCCGGAAACAGAGAAGCAATGGACTTTGAGAAGAGGAAGGCAGCAACATTAGCTTCTCTAAGCTCAGTGGAAGCTGACAAATCACCAAAAGGCTCGTTGGACGCACCAATCATCCCTCTCCTGAACACCATCAATCAACACCCTTGTTTCTACACTACCAGTTCATGCTCTGGCCGAATTTCTATCCTTTCGCAACCTTTATTGAAGCCCACCATTGATGCGCAGAAACCCAAGAAAAAAGCTAGAGGAGGTTCTTGGCTCTTCGTCTCCCACGACCCTGCCGATCCCGATTCAGTCCTCAGCCTCCTTTTCCCCTCCAAGCTAACTCCATCTTCTGTTTCGACTGAGCCGTCTGAACTTGTCTTCAGATTCGAGCCCCTCATCATTGCTGTCGAGTGCAAAGATCTCTCTTCGGCTCAGTCGCTTGTTTCTTTGGCCATATCTTGCGGGTTCAGAGAGTCGGGCATTGCTAATGCTAACAAGCGTGTGATTATAGCAATTCGGTGTTCGATAAGATTAGAGGTGCCTCTCGGGGATACTCAGAAGATTATGGTGCCGCCCGAGTATGTTCGGTACCTTGTTGAAGTCGCAAACGAGAAAATGGAAGCGAATAGGAAGAGAACCGAAAGGTTTTTTGGATTGTTGCAGTCCAACGGCTTTGTAGAATCTATGACTGCCGATAATAGTAATAATATATCTATAAACGAATCAAGGAATCCTTCTGATGTTTCCGTGCAGGGAGAAGGTCTTGCTTGTGATAATGTTCAAGTTGGAGATGATGATGAGTTGGAAAAGAGGAATGGTGAAACCTCTTCAGGTATCTATATAATTTACTGTTTTCAGCATTTGAGGGATGTACATGCTATTTATGATTTTCGTTCTGTAAAGAAGCAACTTATGATAACTCTACCTATATTTAATAGTCAGTCCTAAATCCAGATAAAAGAGGAAGATTGTGTTAGGTCCTTATCAGCCAACATAAAACTTTGTTAAATGATATAGACAATAGACGTTCGTGTTGTTGTTGTTGTTGTTGTTGTAATGAAGCAACTTATGATCTAGAGTAGAACTGTAGATTGCTGATATCTAGTACTATGTATTGCATGATCCCTAACTTATCTAGATAATCAGAAGAACTATGGGCCTCTGCTGGGGAGTTTTCAGTAGAGTGAAATGGAATAGTATTCACAGGGTGTGTTAGTAGATTGGTTGGGAGAGAAGAGGAAGAGCTATTGCTCTGTTGTTGGGTGTTTAATGAGTCAAGGGCTGGTGATCTCTTCTCATTGTTTAGATGTTACGTTGTAATTTCATGAAAGGGAGTGAGAAATACAAACTTCCAAATCATACGTACATACTGTCATATATGCTGCCAAAAGCATGAATAATCCTTTATCCAGTATTTTAGTCTTCAAAAAAAATTGTAGAGGGCAATCTAGATTATAATGAACTCATTCCTGTTTTGCTTATGCTGGTGGCTTGAAATTTTATTCTGTGATGAGAGGGTGTTTACATCAGTGCTATTTGGTCCTGAGAGTATCTAGTAATGATAATAATGTCTGTACTCATACATTTTGACATGTAACTGATTGCAGGACAGCGTTCCTTTTAGTATGAAACAAAAGTCTGAATCCTTCAATTGTTGACAGGGCTTGTGGATTTTCCTGGTTTTAGTCTGCGGATTGTCCATATTGAAATTGTAGGTGAACCAGTGGAAAAGCTTTTCCTTTGGGGTCATTCTGCTTGCGCATTGGATTATGCTAGCCACAACAAAGTATTTGTGTTTGGCGGCTTTGGAGGCATGGGGAGACATGCAAAAAGAAATGATTTATTGATGCTTGATCCATATTCTGGTACTCTGCAAACAATCAGAACTGTTGGTGATTTATCTTCACGCCTAGGCCATACATCTTCCCTAGTTGGAGATTACATGTTCTTGATTGGCGGTCGTACTGGCCCTGATAAGATTCTTGGTGAAGTTTGGGTCCTTGACACAGCTAAGAATTGTTGGAAGTTAATGCAATGTGGAGGTAGTGACTTTCTTCCCAGGTAATGCTCTAGCATCCTTCTTTTGTAACCTCGAATGAGAAGCACAACTGAAACAAGTGAAAATAAGAAGAGTTTATCTTTTCCTTCACTTCTGGTGGCAGAAATTTAATTCATTTGCGTAGATTCTCACAACTCATTGGAAAGCGTATGTGCTAATATATTTTTGTGTTGTTTGATTACGTAAACTCATTTCAACAAAAATCTAAGTCTAAATTTCCATATTGGATAGGCATCGTCATGCTGCTGCTGCTGTGGGCTCAAATATTTATGTATTTGGGGGACTGGATAATGATAATATCTTTTCCTCCTTTTATATTCTTGACACAATCAACTTAATCTGGAAAAAGGTGCCAGTTTCAGGGGACTGGCCATGTGCTCGTCATTCTCATTCAATGGTGGCGCATGGTTCTCAGATCTTCATGTTTGGTGGATACGATGGTACAAAAGCACTTGATGATCTGTATAGCTTTGATATTCGGAAGGGTCAATGGAAGAAGGAAAAGACAGCTGGAAGGAATCCCCATGCTAGGTTTTCCCACTCAATGTTTGCCTATAAAAATTATCTTGGAGTTATTGGTGGTTGTCCAATTAGACAACATTTTCAAGAGTTGGCTTTACTTGATTTGCAGCTTCGTCAATGGAAGCATGTAATCCTTAATTCTGTTGGCAAAGATTTATTTGTGCGCAGTACAGCTTGTGTCATTGGTGATGACCTTGTTATGGTTGGTGGTGGTGCATCTTGCTATGCATTTGGAACCAAATTTAGTGAGCCAGCAAAAGTTAGTTTGCTCCATTTAATGCCTTCTTATGATGATCATGTACATGTTAAAAATAAAACAAAGCATATGAGTAATCTAAATGATGGGGAAAATAAGACTAGGATTCAAAATCTTGAACAACCACAACTTGAGCGTGTACCGGATATAGGTGACCATGGTGACATGTGTCTTGATGGTGAATCACATGTCACGAATGACCAATTTCAGATGGCTACATCACATTATGCTCTGAAGCTAGACAAGAGATATGCAAAATTAGGAAAGGATATATTGAAGAAATTTGGATGGTTAGACTTTGGCAGGAAAGCATACTCACAGGAGGATGGGTTACATATCTGTTTTCCTGTAGTTAATGATTTTTTTCATATATTTCACGAAAGGAAGACTCATTCAGGAGACACAACTGAAGGAAAAAATGAAGTCGACTTCTCCAAGCCATCTAAAGGAAATGGATACCTGTTAAATGACTTATCTGGTCCAAAAGCCTTGAGTCTTTTACATGAATATGGTGCAAATGTACAGGAAGATGATGTTGCTGAAGTCAGAAAAGCTGCAAAAACTCCTTTGGAAGTGATGACTGAAGCAATAACGACTTTGATTGAGCATAACGGCCTACCTACACGGCTGCTAGAGGAATTGCCAGCAAGGTTTCACTATGTTTCTGCTAATTTTCTTTTGTGATGGCTTATTTTATTATTTTTGTTTATAATGCATCCCTTTGATATTATGTTGTCTAGTCATCTTATTTCATTAAGCTTTCTAGGTGGGGTCGACTTGGAGATATTGTTGTACTTCCAACTACTTCTTTCAAAGATCCAATGTGGAACTCCATCACAGAAGAGCTTTGGCTCACTGTTAGCGAATCACTTAAGGCTAATCGACTCGCTCGCCAGGTAACTATATTTATGAGTAATTCATAAATTTATGCTTTCTTTTATTCTGCCGAGGCTTCTACTTTTTAATTCAATAGTTGATGAATGCTCGGGCAACCAAGTATTTTTCATGAAGAAATTAAGTCAAATCAACAAATATATGAATAAAGCTCAATATCTGCATGTTTTGCCTCTTTTAAACAACTCACCTTCTAAGTGCGGAAAGACTTCATAATCCCCAAAGCACAGACCGTGTTCTCTGAGATCAGCTGATGTCTGCAAATGTATGGTGTAACAGAACCACTAAAATCGTGTCAGCTATGAAAGTTAATTTTCCCTGATAAAATTATGAGGGCGGAATAGGAGGAACCTGTGCCAGCGCATACCCATGAAGGCTAGAGCTTAGAACCATTGAAAAAAAGATTAACTTGTGGGTGCTTCACATTTGTCAAGCATACGCATAGACATTCTATGCATGGATCTGCTTTGCAGTGGTATCTGAGGGGGATGAAATCTTGGAATTGTCAGTAAATTTTCATCACCAAAACACTTATTTTTAATATTTTTAGTTAATTTTACACCTGAAAATTAAGTTGTCTTCAATAGGCTTTGATAGGAAATATGGGAGACATTCTAGAAAAAAATAAATTCTCTTTATGTTATTTTAATATTTTGTAAGAAGGAAAATATAAAGCCTAACTTTATATGGACAAGGTGTTAAGGTTTCCTTTTGTGTTCTTTTATAAGAGGAAATCTGAAAGTTAGCTTTATATGTAGATGTGATTAAGGCTTCCTTATTTAGGCATTAGAGTTTTGTTAAATAGACTTAATTGCACTTGTAATGGACACACTTGATGAATGAAATATTGTGATGGCATATTCAGAAGCTCTCCCCCTCTCTCTGCGTTCTGTCTCCCTCTCCCTTGCTCCCCCATTGTTCCGTTCTTCATTTCTCCCCCCCTATTTCTAGTTTCTCTCTACTCTCTCCCTCCATTCAGATCTGTGTGAGTGTATGTGAGTGTGTGTTACATCAGGCTTTCAATATCTTTATAGTGAATTCGTTTATTCATGACCATTAAGATGGCTATTATAGGGCCCAGTTGCAGCAAATGGTACTAGAGATAGCACGCTGCAGATTCTTGTCGGAGATAATGGATGGGTTGACCATCGAGAAAATGGAATACTCTATTCTTTTGATGCTAGCAAGTGCATGTTCTCATGGGGAAATCTTTCTGAGAAGCTTCGGATGGCCCAACTAGATTGTCAGGATGAGATTATAGTAGATCTGTTTGCAGGCATTGGATACTTTGCGCTGCCATTTCTTGTCAGGTATCCTGTAACTTTCCTTCAAGCTGGGCTGTACAGTTTTGTGAATCTTAAATTACAATCCCATGTTAAGATTTTGTATTGCCTGGCATGAACGCCCTTTGTCTGCCTTCAATATGTTCTGATTGGCATCTAGGATGGGGCTTATCCCAGAGAGATTTTATTTTAATATTTGGGCTGTTGATAGAGCACAGTTACATCATGTAAACCATGTAGCTGACTCCACCTAGTAGGGCAATGTTTGCTGTGTCCATTGCAACAAAAATTTGGCTGATAGCTATCATTTCATTTATGCTTTGCTAGCTTCCTTTAAAATTGACAATCTATTTTTTTTCCCCCCGTTATTCCCTTTTTGCATGATCTTGAGCAGGGCCAAGGCAAAATTTGTATATGCTTGTGAGTGGAATCCCCATGCCATAGAGGCACTCCAACATAATCTGAAAGCGAATTCTGTGACTGACCGATGTCTCATTCTTCAAGGAGATAATCGAAGTTTGGCTCCCAAAGTATAGTCTCAAGTTTATTTCTTCTTTTGTTGGTCATTTTAACTCTATCTCCTAAACATTTTTCAATATAATTCGAAATTTTCATTTGATAATGTAGTGTTTCTTAATAAGTCATCCAAGAAATAACACCTAGTACTTACTGAACCAATCATCAATCTATATTGACTTCCTAAAGCATCTAACTTGTCAGTTAATTTTTAAGAGGAATCAATGTTAATTTGCACCCTTGTTTAAAGGAATTCTTTGGGTCGCAAAGTGTAGTGTTACAAGTACTGCTTCTGCATTGACAGTTTGCAGGTTTTCTTTATTCAATCTTCCAAACACATTGGTAATCTGCTTTGTACCCCTTTTAGACAGAGATTTACTCAAATGTATACTTCTATGATTCTACACAATATGCTGGTAAAAACTTGCTGTGTCATTTCTCTGACATAGTTGAAGGAATTTTTTTTACTATACAGCAAAAATACTAAGAAATGAAAAACAGAAGAGTAAGTACTATTATTTTTGACATATTATCATCAAAGTTACTATTCCGATGAATTTAAATAGTAGGGAGAAAGAGAGTGAACTGTAGAAAATTTGAGTTGACTATAATAATTTTCTCTCTAGTTTGTATGAAAAAATAAAGTAAAAAGGAAACATTAAACCCTTCTTTGGTATGTATGTATACATATATATAAGAGAGAGAGAGAGACATGCATTGAGTGAACTCATGAATATGTTCTTCACTTTTTCTTTAGTCACTGCATGCTGTCAATAAGTATTGGCACGTGAAGGAAGAACAGGTCCATCTATTTTTTGACATTGATATATGGACAGGGAAATGACTCAAATTGATCGTTTGCATCCAGGGTGTTGCTGATAGAGTTTGTCTGGGTCTCCTTCCATCTAGTGAGTGTAGTTGGGTCACAGCAGTGAGGGCCTTGAGGTAATTGAGATGCCTATGTACACAATTTCTTTCTATAGATCTACACGGTACTCTCTCCAGTTCTATTTATAAGTCAGAGAAAGACTAATTTTTTTTTTTTTTTGGTCTGACTTGTCAATCATGTCATTAAATTTTTATCAAAAGTTTCCCCTTTTTAAATTAAATATTGGTAAGAAATTGTACGTTATTAAAATACATATATATAATAGGGGCAAAATAGGGAACTTGTTAAATTTTTAATAGAGTCTATGAGTTTTAAGATTTTCTTTAGTTTTGATGAAACATATTGAAACCGACTTTTAATTTTGGACCCCATTCTTAATTTTATTTTCAATTTGGCCCCCCAACCATTGAACTCTAGATCCATCCCTGTATCACTCTATTGTCAGGTTTAGAAAATCTTTCAATCCTGTGTCAACTGCGGCATTTATATTTCCACAGCAATATAGTTTGAAAGTTGCATGGTTGTTTGGCAATGTAGTTCAAAGTAGGAACTGGACTTCAATCCTCAAAAGAGAAAAAGTATAACTGAACTTGTCATGTCATCAACACTGCAGGAGAGAAGGTGGAGTACTACATGTGCATGGAAATGCGAAGGACTCAGAGGAAGGCCAGTGGACCGAACACGTGTTGAAGTCAATACATGAAATTGCTAGATCTGAAGGTAGTACTTTCTGACGCTGAAGATCTGGTTTTTGACAGAACTGTTGTTGAAACCTTACTGCTGTGATTTCCACAGGTTATTGTTGGGAAGTTTCTATAGAACATGTGGAGAGGGTTAAATGGTATGCTCCACACATTCGCCACCTTGTTGCAGATGTGAGATGCAGACAGACCCAGAGATAGCGAATGGACTATCATTCGAGTATATGATTAATATATGGAAGCCAACTTATTCAGAAGTCTTTAGATATACCATCTTCACCTAGAGCCTTTGCTGATCTACTTTGATGCTAGCTCACACTTTAAATGCCTAATCTGAATCATGAAAGTCCTCAGAATGCTGTGGAACAAGTAAATGAGTTGAATTAATTGAACTGATAAGTGTTGCAGATGGGTAAGAATGGGGAATGATGAGTGGAAAAGGACGGGACATTATTTACAGCTCATATCATTTATAATAATTTGCTCTTTAAACCTTTACGCCTCTCTTCACATGCAATTCCATTTTTTCTATTTGATTGTTATTTAATTTAACAATGGAAAATAGGTAATTATGATATTTAACCAAGTATATTATTTATTTAATCATTGCCCTAAATAAGAATTATGTTCTAATCTTCGTGAGTGTTTCAGTAGTAGTAATAAATGTATAGCCATTAAAATCAAACAGGTAATCAAATGTTAGGCCCAAAAAAAAAAGGCAATCAAATGAAGGAAGAAATTGTACATGGATAAAAAATAGTGAGGTGTCCATATTTAGTATTTGATTTACTTTGAATAAGATTATTTTCAATAGGAGAATATTATTGATAATAAAAGGTGATGTATTTCCTTTTTACTATCCCTCCAGGACATAGATATGAAGTATTGGGTGGAGCCTGATCTTTGAAAGTTGGATCAAGGTAGAATGGCAAATAAATTTAATTAAAATAGACAAATGACAAAAGAATAACATGGAATGAGGTAATTATTTTGAAATCTTTTAGAATTTACTTGACTTTTTTGCAAAATTATGTTTATGACCCTCAGCAAAATAATAGAAAACATAGTTAAAATTTAAATCGAGATTGTTAATAACCCAAAAAAAAAAAAAAAGCTATTAGAATTATAGATTATTTTTGCCATCAAAGTATTGGCTGAGAAACACTTGGCATCTTGAATTTCATTTTTGCCCCCCTCCCAAAAAACGTTTAAGAACATGCCAATTTTACCCTTACTATTTACTGCGACCATTAAGTTATCTTATTTAACCATATACATTCAAGTGACATCTAACTTGGCAAAAATAATAGGTTAAATGTTCCTTTTGTTCTCAAAGCATTAGCTCAAGATATCTAGTATCTTGAACTTTATTTTTGATCATTTTCTCTCTACTTGTTTAAAAACAGATCAATTTTGCTCATGTTGTTAACGGTGACTGTTTAAGTCATTTTATATTGAAAAATGATTATTTTGGTTAAGCTATTGATTAAAATGAAATAAAAAATTACTATTTCATTGTGATAATTCACTAATTTTTAACACTCGATTGATTGATAAACAAGTTTGCAAAAAGAAGCTAGTTCTTTTCTATTTCATTTTTAATGTCCCAGCTAAAGTAATCATTTCTCAATGTTTAATAGTTATTAAGAATAAATGTCATTTTATCAAAAATTAAAATGTCAAATAAGTTACTAAAAGCTAAATAATAATTATTACATTTGCAGTTAGTTCTCATTTGCATATTTAAGAATTATTTTATCATTTTCCCCTAAAAGGCAATGAATAGCGTATTAAGAAATAGCAAGGAGTGCTATTGTTGTACTTGCAGACATGCTTCCTATTAGGTCGGTAATAACGGCTCAAATAGCTATAACAAAATAAATTATATTTGAAATCAAAGCTCGGGGGACGCGTGACGTCGTGATCGCGATGACGATTAATAAACGGAGGGACAGTATCTCAATTATGAACAGAAAATCTTAATATAATATTCCAATGGGTCCCCTAGCCACAATTTACCCAAGCATGAAAGGTATACAAGACTTAATAAAATAAATATTTAATTATTACTGAAATGTTACGAAACGTAAATAATTACAAGTATGAATTGAAGATAAAAATTAATTAATAAATTTAAAAATTATGAGTGTAAAATATGAGTCTTTTAAGTGCTGTTCATGTCCTCTTCTATGATTTGATGCTTTATTTATACTGACAAAGTGATGTTAGTTTTTTTTTTTAAATCTGAAATGTTTTTACAAATAATCATGAATTCTGCAAAACTCATAATACGGTCTTTAATTAATGTTTTCTATTTTTAGCAACAAACTTGTTCTGTCAAGATACTTAGGCATAATAATGCTATTTCCATGAGATTTAGGATCATTTGAGATCATATCTTTATGTACCAACAATCCACATAGTGAGTTTGCAACTAGTGAGATTTCAACATGCTTATCTGGCCATGACTTTCCATTACGTTCGGAGCTGGTCCTTTTGTTTAGATTAATGATTGAGCCTGACTCTTCAGTAATTTAGCTCATATGGCTTTATGGCATACTCAAATGTTTTGACAAGCAACGTTTTATATTTAATCCAAACATATAATATAATAAAAATTGAAAGTGTAAAAATAAAAAATCAACTTATACTAAACAACAATAAATTTTTTGATAGACAAGGTGTGTCACATAATTTTGTGGTATATTTAATAAAAATATAACCTTTAAATAATATTAAATATAAATTGATTATAATATTAATGTTAATAAAAAAAAGAGTAGAAATTAAATATGTATTCTATTATAAGAATAAAATTAACTAAAATAATATTACATAAAATTTTATTTAGATTATTTAAAATATTTTAACGGGATAGGTCACAAATGATATGACACATCTAATTTACTTAAGAATTTCTTCTAATGATCCATGAAATTTTTCACATAAAGATTTAACTTTTATAAATTTACAAATTTTAAAACTTTTAAACATCTTATAAATATATCGCTACAGTTGTTTTTTTTTTTAATAGTATGCATTTGATTTCTTTTTAAAATTATGATCTACTCTTCTTTAAATTTTATTAATTGCACATTAACATATCTGTTCTGCATTAAAAAGATTAACCTTAGCCATTTATGAAGAGTTAGGATGAAATGGAGTGTAAATAGAAGTTCAGAATTCAAATCTTCTTGGCGTGACAAGAAAAATATTATACCCATAATTTTTTTAACTTGAATAATGATACAAGGGGATGCTAGTGTTATTTTATTTTTACAACTATTAAAAAGAAATTTTAATTTTTAATTTTTAATTTTTTTATTGCTCACAAGTATTTTTCTCTTAAAGATAATCATATGCAAGAAAGTATCAAGCACTAAATGTGAATACTTCTTTTAATAAAAATAATTTTAAATTTTTTTAGCTGTGTTTATTTATGTACAAAATATATGATGTTCTTCACTAGTTTATAACAATTAAGAAAAATAGTTAAAAGTAGTTTGTATCATTAAAATAGTAAAAACTGTCACTAATTTTTAAGATTACCCTTCAATTAAAAGTAACCAATTGCAATTATCTTTAATTTTTTTTTTTATGTAACATCTGTCAACAATACAATTAACGAGAATATTTGTGATAAATAAAAATTTACTGCTAGTGATATTTTACAAGTGGTATTATATTTTGAACCAATCTCCATGAATAAAAAATTTTCTATATTTGAAAATTGAAAAGGTATAAGTCTGGGCATAGATTTGGATATGATGAGGGGCTAATAAGTTCTCTCAATCAATAAGTACCTCACTTTGTATGATAATAACTGTTTAATTCAATCAAATAGCTATAAGAGATTTTATTATGTAATTTTAAAAAAGTTTAAATCTCAATTTTTTTAAGGAGACAACCTCTATGAGGAGTGGTTTTTTTTTTTTTTTTCATTCAAGAAAGGTTCATGTGAGTTGGGTCTCAAGACTCACTAGAGCCCAAACATGATTTTAGGTTTAATGAATGCTTACAGAGATATATGAAAAGTGCTTTGATTATGAATATTATTTTGAATTTTTGGAGTAAATGTATTTTGATATATTTTAATCATAAATAAAATGTAATGGATATAATTAAGATACTTGTTAAGTAAATGGACTTAAATCATTCATTAAATTTAAATCTTTTGATTGCCATTGTCTGAGAGTGTTAAAACTTTGGCATGCAAGCACGTTGTTCATGAAAAATATAGGAGAGAATATTAATAAAGGACCTTTAAAATAATTTAGTATCAAGCCAGTACTTGTAACAAGCAAATATTAATAATTGGCAAGTGAAAATTCAAGTTTTAACAAATATCCAATATATTCAAATCCTTACCTTATATTAAATCATTTTAATGGTCATTGTTATTCTCCCATAATATAAAAAGCTCACATGATGGCTATAGACTTGGGAGTGAATCCAAAGTTGTTACCCTTCCCTAGAGGGAAGGAAATGAAATAATAAGTAAATAGTAACATTAAAAAAATAGACAAAAGAGCAACAACGACAACAAAACAAAGCAACGAAAAAAAAAAAATGTTTGTTAACTACTCTCTCGATACTATAATATAGGTATTTTTTAAAAATTTTATTTAATCCAAAATATAATGTATTAGGTAATGTTTATAATTGTTTTCTAACTAAATTCCTACTTCACTTAATACTTTTTCAAAAAAAAGTCAGTATTTAAATTATAATTATTGTTATTAAAGTATTTATATAAAATATTTACTGAGAGTATAATTAAAAAATGTAATTTTTTTAAAGAGATATAACTTTTCTAGAGTTATGAAGTGATTATTAATATCTCATGTTTTAATATTGGAGTGTGTGTGTGTTTTTTTTTTTTTCAAGTGGCAATCCATAGAATGGACACAACTATTGAATAATCAAAGTGATTAAACCAATAAGCAACCTTCAATTACTCATCATCTCCGAGAAAAAAGGAGGGAAGAGAACTTCATGGCGATGCACGCTCCGAATTCCATAAGCAAATGACAAATTTTAATGAGTTATGGATATTAAAAGAGAAGACTGGATTGTTCTATAACAAGACTACATCTTTAATAATTTAACTTTCTATAAAATTTTATTTTAGTTTTTTTAATTCTATAAAATATTTTTTTAGTTCTCTAAATCTAATACCATTAATTTTATTAACAAAAAATATCAAACTTTTAAATATTTATAAAACATTCTCAAATGTTAATATGTTAAGTTTAATTTTTTAAAATAACAAATATTGGTAAAAAATATCATTTGAGACTAATAATATTAGAATTAGATGATAGAAAAAATACTTCATAAAATCAATAGACATCAGTGAAATCTCATATAAAATTAAGTGATCAAAAGTTTACTTTTGCTATTGTTAAATATACTTACATTTACTAAAAATGTATATTATTTATTTAATAAAAAATTCAAGTGCATTTATATATTTATTCTCAACTTTGTGAAAAAAT